AATCATGGATGGAGATGAGGACGAGATGGGAAGAGATGGGGAAAACCCGGGAGAGGGTCACGGAGGTTTCTCAATATTCGAAAAGCTTGTCGTCATAAAGTAGCACCGCCGCTTCAGCAGAGGGCACCGACGCCACTTGGGCTCTCGTTCGTGGTGAAATTTCTCATGATCTGCCCATGCCGCTCTCAATCTCAATTCCAATGAAAGTCGGGGTGACGTGAAATGGCTGGGACAGACGCGACGACTTGTGCAAATCCTGCCGTACGAAACTCGACGTCTCACTCCCCCAGCATCTGATGATCTAGGTGAAACGAACAGGCGCGGGAGATGGAATAGGCGCCTAATCAGATCGGACGGCCCGAACAACAGACCGGAAGGCGGTTTTCAGGATCAGGCTGAAAAGGAACAGTTTAATGTACGTACCGGTGCCCTTTCTGGGAAAGGGAGGCTTGGGTCCAAGTCCAACCATTATGGGCCAGAAGACAGAGTAGACTTAATCTTGACAGCTTTGGGTTATATACTGAGGTTGCTGACGTCTACTGAAGCTCGCAAGTCGGAAGAAGAAAACAACCAATGTTGGTGCTCAGGAACACGTCAACGGTCTGTGCCTTATATACACAACAACAGCTGGGTGCAAAGGTATCATCTGATTATGTGCAAACTGTGGAGGAGCAGTCGGCCAGATAGGTCGAAATGGAGAAATGAGAGCCGAGAGTTATAGGTAATTATCATCGGGCTCACAGATACCTAGGACGTAGGGTATCGCCAAGCAAAGTGGAAGCTGTCAAGCTGAAGCTACATTGCATTTCAGGGTATGTTGAAGTGGAAACCAGCGTGAAAACCCTCCCAGATCATGACCTCGTCGACGTAGGATCCTGGACGGTACCTACGTAGAGGTAGCTTCACGATCCACAGCCAGAGGTGCAGTAGCCCCAGTGGTTGTGCTGTGGGGGCAGTTAGGTTCGTGGGTTTCTGTTTTCCCCTCCCCTTTCTCTGAAGTTGGGTAGGTCACTGATCCAAAGCTCAAATTGGTTGTTGGGCGAGGTACTTAAAGTACTGCTCATAGTGATGAATTAACTGAGCAGAGAGGTTGAGAGTTCCAAGAGAATTTCTGACAAGTTGGAGAGATTGGGCCGTTGCAAGCTCCCAAGTTGCCCCTGTGCACACGCGTTTGCCCCTCATATCACCAGGGTACTACTGACATGGGGGTTGCGCAGTGGTGACTGGTGACAAGGGGAAGCTCCCGTTCCCCCCCCCCCCCCAGGTAGCTTGGGCAGAAACTCAAAGGCAACTCAAATACCATCACTGAAATGAGCTGACCAGCCAAACATGTTTAGTTAGAGGTAACCACCCAACATTGGGCACATGAAGGCGCTCTGGGAACGTTTCATGAAAAGCAAATCATAACAACTCGTAGTTCGGGCATGAATATAAAATGTTGTAAGCAGCTCTAGAGAGGTGTGGTCATACCCGGCGAGACATCCGGGCCCCTATCTTCAGGGTCGATCGGTTCGTTCTATGCAGACGGAAACGCCCGCCAAAAGCTGATACACAAGGTACTCATCAGGTGCCACTACCCGCTGGTCAGACGATCAATTTTATCGGTACAGTAGACCTAGGTAACGAGTACTGCCCCTGGGGTGAACCCCATGAACCGGCCCGATCTCTATGTAGAACACCTCACATTTCCCGTCTCATGAACCCTCAACTCACAAGTACATAAAAGTCGGAATTACGGCACCATCAACCTCCGAAGTCCAGAAACCCCGGCCGCCGGCCGGGGCCCGGCTCGAGCCCGGCACCCAAGGCTGATGGCCCGAGCTCTACTTGCCAAGGTGTGGATATCTCGTACGGACGAACAGGGGTCCACCATAATACATAGCAACGTAAGCACTTTGGAGAAGTGCTGGACAGCTGGCGGGACACGGCCGATTAGGTATCGAGAGGCCACGGTGATGCTTGTCGGTACACTCTGTGAGGGCCAGTTTCTCGTGTAATTGACTGCAGCGCCAGCTAGGTCCCTTTCCCAAGATTAGTCCATCACATCTTCAATTGGACTATTGGACGGTTCATGAACGCGTCCCGCCCCTTTCCTTCAAGATGAAGACATCGGCCGTCTTCTCTGCCGTCCTTTCGTTGCTTTCCCTAGCTTCAAGAGGTTCGGCGCATGGACACCATCACCACCACAAGCACAGCGATAGCGGCACCTCGAGCGCCTCCGCCCCGGCAACATTTACGCCGCCCCAAGTCTTCAAGAATGTCAATCTTGTCCACATTGTGTCATTGGAGAAGAACTACGTCAAGGAATCCATCAATGTCGTAATAGAAAACATCGACAAAAAGGCGCAGTCCGATTACATTCTGCCTTTTGCAAACGAGCAGTTGTCGCGTCTGGGTGGTTTGGAGGTTAGAGATCGCAAGAATGCCGAATCCGGTCCATTCGTTGTTGAGCCGGTAGAATTCGAGTCGTTCGGGTCAGTGATTTTTGTCCGTCCGTCACCCAAGTTCCCATCTAACCTCTCTTGAATAGTCCCAACCAGTACGTTCGGATCCGATTGCCCACACCTCTCGCGCCGGGCGCGCAGCAGACATTGGGCATCACCTACTACCTTCTGGACGCCTACAAGCCTCTTCCCGCCTCGATCAAGCAGGAGGAGCAACAGTTTCTTTCGTACTCCTTCTCGGCTTACTGCCCCTCGGTATACGCTACATCTAAGCAGAAGACCGAAGTCAAGTTCGCATCGACCAACATCCCCGACTACACCAAGCTTCCCGGCAGTGGAGACGTCAAGGAGTTCCCCCAGAAACAAGGATCCAAGCTCGTTTATGGTCCCTTTGATGAGAAGCCAGCCGGTGCGCTTGAGCCTGTTCAGGTTCGGTTTGAGTTCAACAAGCCCGTGATTCACTTTTCTCGCCTCGAGCGCGACATTGAGGTCAGTCACTGGGGCGGAAATGTGGCGTTTGAGGAGCGCTACGATCTCGAGCACCGGGGTGCCAACCTCTCGTCCCTATTCAACCGGGTCAAGTGGCAGCAGTCACAATACTACAACCCTGTCACTCATGCACTCAAGGAGATGAAGTTCCCTTTGCGCGTTGGCAGCGCCGACCCCTACTACACCGATGTTATTGGCAACGTTTCCACGTCCCGCTTCCGTAGCAACAAGAGGGAGGCCCTGCTTGAAATCAAGCCTAGATACCCCTTGTTTGGAGGCTGGAAGTACCCGTTCACCATTGGCTGGAACTCGGATGCGAAGAATTTTCTGCGCAATACGGCGACCGGAGGCTTCGTTCTTAATGTTCCTTTCCTTGAGGGTCCCAAGCAGCCCGAGGGTGTCGCGTATGAGCAGGTTGTGGTCCGTCTGATCCTGCCTGAGGGAGCCGAGTACGTTATCACTACCCCAGAACTGCCCTAACATGTAATTGACACTGCTTTACACAGGAACGTAAAATGGACCACCGCAATCCCCAAGTCCTCGATCTCCGAAGCGGGTGTGCAGATTCACAAGACCTATTTGGATACCATTGGCCGCACAGCTCTCGTCATCAAGGGGCGCAACTTGGTCGATGACTTCAGAGATCGTGATCTCACCGTTACCTATGACTATCCCATGTCAGCTGTTCTGCGCAAGCCTTTGGTTGTGTTTAGCAGCTCCATGGCTGTCTTCGTGAGCCTTTGGCTTCTCAGTCTTATCAATCTCAAGTTCACAGCCAGGAAATAATTGAGGAGCAGGCGGAGTGGTTTATTAGGCATATGGGTTGGGTGAAAATTTCCTATACAAGTGTATCATCGTCATACTTCCAGCGGCCAGATATTTTGAAGAAGCAAGGGAAAAGATATTCTATGCGAGAAGAGGAATTCTCTGGCTGTGATTTCAGTGGTGGTATTGACTGTGCAACTTGTTGAACTCATCCATTCAGCGGTTGAGAAAGGCTTCCGCCTTTTGAGGTGAATAGAGAAGCCAGATGCTCGGTACGGAAAGCAGCCGTTTGCACGAGACAACGCCTAGGGTAGAAACTCAGGCCCCCGAGATCGACATGTATTTTGATTTGAGCAACGAAGCAGAAGAAAATGTAGTATGGTCCTATCCAACGTATTTTACTTATGATATTGGGCATACCTCAAGTTTCACACCTTCTCAAAGCACCAAAGGGTCTTATCTGAAACAAGACGACCAGCATCAGAACTGCGCGTGGTCGGTTTATTATTGCCACTGCTCGAATAACATCTTGGAGAACTCAACAAGGGGGAGAGCAGTGGTGAAGGTGGGGTTTGATCCCCAAAGGGGATGGGAATCGGAGTCTTGTGCTATGACGTCACACAGATTCTTTATACAGACTTGAAAGCACCGAAGTCATGACGACAGTAACAACACCACGTCCTTATTCGGCTGGCACGAGACCAGGAAACAGGTCTACTGAGAGTGTGGACGGCGAAGTCAGGCTTCAGCTGAAGGAAGGCAGGTGACAGACTGCATAGGATCAAGAACGGAGTACCGTATCTCTCCAGTTCCTTTTCCTAGTCGATGCCTCCGATTCATAGCCGACCAACTTTACGATCAACTAGGATCTACGGAGTATCAGATACCTTGATTTATATCGCCTTATTTCAGCCTTTTTACGCCTAGTGACGTCGAGCCTGAGATTACCGAGAGAGTGGCACGCATCGCCCGTCGATCAGCTTCATACCCTTCGTGCCTCTTACGCAGGAACCGTAAACCAGGATACTGCTTCCGAAACAAACTCATTCTACGATAATTGATTCTGGACTTTCTCTAACCTCACTGCTATTTCCTTTGATCCGACCATCAACGTACTCTAAGGTAGCGCCTTCCGGAGAAGAACTCACAACAGAAAGAACGATCGGAGTCCTAACCAGACCAAGAGCCGAACACTCAAATTACTTGTCATCAGTAAAACATCAGACACCATGTGAGTTAGCCCACACGTAATGAATCAACCTATTGATTTAAACCTTTGTAACCTCCAAGAAACATATCACCATGTCCCGCAAGAGCATCGACAGCAGTCGCTCTCCAAGCCTGTGGTATCTCTGTTCTTCAGCATATCGCTCTGCCCGAACAACCACTAACACTCTTGCTCTCAGGAACCGAGCACTCTCCATCCGCTCCAACAACCGGAGCAGCGGCGGCGGCTCCTCCACCACCAACTTCTCCTCTCACCACCACGGTTCCCGCCGGGGCTTCAGCCTCTCCTCTCTCCGGGGAACCATCCAACCGGAACTCTCCAAGAAGCTCTACCGTCTAATCAAGTCCGAGAACAACCTGATCTCAGCACACGAGACGGCTGCCAAGGAGCGCCTCTCGATCGCCCAACAACTCTCAGAGTGGGGCGAGCAGACTTGCGACGAAGGGATCAGCGACATCAGCGACAAAGTAGGCGTGATCCTGTCGGAACTGGGCGAGCAGGAGGACAACTACGCGCACGCACTGGACGAGAGCCGCGGCACGCTGAAAACGATCCGTAACACGGAGAAGAGCGTGCAGCCGAGCCGGGACGGCAAGAACAAGATCGCGGACGAGATTGCGAAGCTGAAGTCCAAGGAGCCTGAGAGCACAAGGCTAGTGGTGCTGGAGCAGGAGCTGGTCAGAGCCGAGGCGGAGAATTTGGTTGCGGAAGCGCAGTTGACGAATATTGTATGTCCATCCATTATCCCTTACCGGGTCATGTACTTCTCTCTCCCTCCTTTTTTTTTTTTTTTTTTTTTTTTTTTTTTTTTTTTTTTTTTTTTTTTCTTTCTTCAATTTCAGTTCCCAAAAAGAGGCTCCTTTCCCATCTTACACAACCCTATGTTCAAATGGCTAACAAAAAAATAATAGACCCGTCAAAAACTCAAAGAAGCCTACTCAGCCGAATTCCTAGCCACCATCGAGCGCGCCGAGAAGCAAATCATCCTCGCCCGGCACGGCCTGCGTCTACTCAACCTGCTCGACGACACCCCCATCGTTCCCGGTGACTCGCAGATCCCGTATACGCAAGGTCACCAAGCCAGACAAATCCTCAATAATGCCGAAGACGATCTGCGCGACTGGCGACCTACGACGACGTCGGCGGCTTTGGACGAGGACGCCAAGTATGTTACTAGCAACTCGCCCCCTTCTCCGACGACGGCCCAGCAGCACGCCCAGCAGCCCCAGGCTTCTCAGCCGAGGAACGCTGCTTCTGTCCCTGATCAGCAATTGCAGCAAGTATCGCAGCAGCACCAACAGCAGTTGAATGAGAAGGAAGTGGATGGTGCGAGTTTGACGGGGACTGAGACGAATACGACTGGTAATGAGAGTGTAGTAGGGGCAAACCAAGAGGTGCAGACGACTGCTGTTTAATTTGGCGTGTTTGCATGCTTTGACTTATTCATTTCAGCTTTGCTATGGTACCGATGTCGTTTTTGTTTATCTAGTGTTCGAGGAACTGATATCTATTTTGACTTTGTAAGAAGCAGCATGTTTTAAGTCTTGACCAAAATCAAGAAGATTTCTAGCAGTATTAACAGTCAAGTGAACACCATGGTATTATACTGAAAAAAATACAAAACTTCTATGCGATAGAGCTCATGATAACTTGCAGCATACCGTAACTAGAACCCTAATCATTTCAAGATATCATCAAATCCTTTTAACACCATCCAACTCCGATCCTCTTGATCCTCAACTCTAAATGGTAGCCGTAACCCTCCTTATGCTCTTTCTTGCACCCTCACCCGTCACCATAACAGCACCCTCCATCTCCAGAGCCCTCATAACCTCCGCAAACTCAGCCGGCTCAACCTGCACACCCGCCCCCTCGCCCAACCGTCTCGCCACCTCCGAGTACCTAACTACCTGTCCGCCGCTGGTCATCTCATCCAGCAGGCGGATAACCGCATCCTTCATGTCGGCCTTGCGCTGGCGCTCCGCTGTGCTCGTGCCCTCTGTCAACAAGCTCATGTCGATGCGGCCCTGGCTGTCGGTGGCGGCGGTCTTGAGCGCTGACTTGATGAGGCGCACGGCCTCGTGGACGTCGTCGCGCGTGACGGTTTGAGATAAACGCATCTTGGCGTGCGCCTCGGCTAAGCGAATCATGGACTCGAGCTGACGTGTGGTGGCCGTAATGCGCTTCTCGGCGGCGCGCACGTCTTGGCCCAGCTTGCGCATCTCGACGTAGGCATCGACGAGCTCGCGGCCGGCTTCGGGCGTGAGGGCCGGGTGGATGTGCGAGCGGGCGTAGGAGATGTAGGAGGTTAGAAACTCGACGGGCTGTTTTTTTTGGGGGTTAGTTGGTTAGTTTGGGGTTCATCTTCGTGTGGATTGACAGACGAGGAAAACTCACAAGGACGTCGTTGGCCTGCTGGGCACTCTCGGGCTTGTCTTCGAGATACATGGAGAGCAAATGGCGGGCCAGACGCTGATCGTTCTTCTCATCAACACGATCGAGAATGAGGTAGACCAGATCGAAACGGGACAGAAGGGTTGGCGGGAGGTCGATGTTTTGTGGCACTGATAGATCAGGGTTGTATCTACTACCAATGGGGTTGGCAGACGCCAGGATTGATGTTCGGGCGTTGAGGGTGGTGATGATGCCGGCCTTGGCGACGGACACGGTCTGTTGTTCCATGACTTCGTGAAGAACGGAACGGGTCGATTCGTTCATCTTGTCGAACTCGTCGATACAACAGACACCGCCGTCGGACAAGACGAGAGCACCAGACTCTAGAACGAGTTGGCGGGACTCGGGATCGCGTGTAACATAGGCGGTAAGACCCACGGCAGAAGAACCTTTACCACTCGTGTACACACCTCTTGGGGCGATTCTGTGAACATAGGAGAGGAGCTGGGACTTGGAAGTGGATGGGTCACCACAGAGGAGAACGTTGATGTCTCCACGGTATTTGGGGCTTCCACCCTTCTCAAAGGTCTTGTTCGTGCCTCCGAACAGTTGAAGAAGAATACCCTTCTTCACATCATCCATCTCGTAGATTGATGGAGCCAAAGAACGTGAAAGGAGATCGTAGATATCCGGTCGAGCGGCAGTTTCCTTGATCCTCTCTTCCTCATCAGGAGAGACCTTTCGGACCTCGTCCATGCTCTGGCCATTAGCATGGGCTTCCTCCTCCTCGGCGAGGTCGAGGGTCGAGGGATCAGAACCCATCCTCTTGCGGTCGACCTTTTGTACATGGACAACATCAACATATGTCTTGTGCACGCTCTTGACCGTCCTCATGCGCGGGTTGACACGAACGGGGGTGACTTTGAAGATACCAGTGAGCTCAACTCTGTCACCGGCCTTGCAAAAGTCCACAAGCTCGTTATAGACGCAAACGGATACCGAGTGGGGTGTCTGACCAGCAGGCACATTATCCGGAGTTTCTTGTAGCTTGATGACTTGCTTGTCTTCGAAAGCACATCTGTTGTGGATGATCTGCATTGAGTTCTTGGAGGCGCAGCGAGCCCGAGGACACTCTGTAGGCTCACGAATCTTGCCACGATCTAACTGAACGGTTATAGAATGACCACAAACACTGCACTTGAAAAATGCATCCTTCATGTCGGGGATGACCGGTGTGGTTCTGATGACAAGACCCTTGATGGACACAAGCTTGTCCATGTCAGATGGGTTGAGGTCACGGAGGTTGGTGATCTTGTCAAGACCCCACGGGCGAACCACGTACGCCATCTGGCTGACTTGGTCCTCAATTGTGGGCGCCGCTGTTTGGGCAGGCCGCGGGGTGGGCGGTTCCTCGCTCCTTTCAGAGCTTGGGAAGTTCGGCTCCGAGCTTTGTGAGGCACCTGGAGCGGTCCTAGAGTTTTGGGATGCTCTTTGACTGGCCATTTCCTTTTGCGCCAACTCCATCATACAATCATGTACGCACTGATCCATGACCGGGATGATTTCGGTAGGATAGTGTTGGGCCTGATGCCATAACTTCAAGGTGCGCGGGTAGGACTTGAGGTCGCGGAGATCCAGATACAGCTTGTTGGTCCCAAGCAGCAGCATGTTCTCCAATGCCTCCCAATATGGCTTCGAATCCGCATCCGGATGGCCAATAGTCTCGGCCTCGTCCGCGCCGTCTGCCCACATCCGGTATTTCCTGGTGAAGTTCCTGAGAAAGTCCTTGAACGCGGAGAACGAATCGTCAAGAGAGATGGTTGTACCCCAAACAAGACCTTGGCTTTGTCCACCAAGGGCATCTGCCTCAGAGGTATTGGGGTTATTGGTGACAAACGAGTTGGCATCGGAGCCAGGGGCATCGCGGATCACACGACCGGCGTCGTCGAGGATAATTCGGCGGGGGATCTGGGCGGGAGTACGTAGAGGGTCCCCGTTGATGTCGCCTCGACGGGATCGACCAGTAACGGATCTTTGCGAGCTGACGAAGAGCTGACTGCTTTCGCTACGAAGATCGGACTGTTGAGTAAGCTGACGGCCCGGGCTAGAACTGGAGGCATAGCGGATGGGAGAGGAGTCTGCGGAGTGTGGTCAGCATTCAGTGTACTCCTGAGTCTTTTTTTTTTGTTGATAGCCGTACCCCCAATTAACTGGCTCCGTCCGTTTGCGCGAGGAGTTCGGTCGGCATCGCTCTGGGTCTCTGTCTGCTGGCGCAAAGGCGAGCTCGGCGCATTGCCTTGGTGGGCAGTGCTCTGGGTATTGCTCATCTGCCTCAAGGGAGAAGATACCGGGGCGGCGCCATTGGCAGGCGAGGAGGGCTCGTAGAATAAGGGACTAGAGGCAAGCTGTGATGCGCGTGTCTGGCGAGGAGTTGCGCTCGAAGGATCAGCCTGCGAGCTGCGAGTAGTGCGGGGAGTAGCTGATTGGGAGCTTCTCGTTGTTCTGCGCTTTGCTGGGGAAGACATGTTTACTGCTCTGTCCTCGGTGATTTTGTTGAGATGATACAAAGTAAACTAAACCAACAAGAAGGGACAGAAGACGGGCAGGTTGGGATGGAGACGCTGAAGTGTTGTTGTGGCTCCCGATCCCTCTGTATTTGCGAGGTGGTTGGCAGGTCGGCAGCGTGTTCAGGACGGGCAAGGTGGATCACGTTCCTATCGAAAAAAAGACAGTCGCGACACACGCGTCTCTGATAAAAGCACTTTACACGGCCGTTCGTGTCTGCAGGGGCTTACTCGCGTTGGCCCATTAAAACCCCTGTCATACCCAAATGAGACGGACGAGGCCACTGCAGTGCTGCTCTTGAGTTCGAACCGTCAGGTAAGGTACGTACCGCGCCGTGGGGCCTTGGAGTGTTCGCTCTGGATTCAAGCCACATCACAGGGACCGCCCGCTTCACCCCACAATACCCACGCTCACCACGGTAACGATACCGCCGTACCTGCCCCTGGTCGTTGTGAGCACTACCTACCTACCTACGCAGCACCTCTGGAGTTTAAGCTAACCACTATATACCTACCCACTTGCGCCCATTGAAGTCGAGTTGCCCCTCGTCGCCCTTCTCCAACCGATACCAGTCTCGAGAGAGCAATTGATCAAGAAACAAGAACCCCCAGATAACCAGTCAAGATGTCGCCAGGAATGTCGCTGTATAGCGTCAACGCTATAGGTACACTAGGCACCACGCTGCTCCTGGGTCCCGGCTTATACGCGCCACGTCGAGCAATGTTGACAATTGCGTTCCAACAGTAATCCTCTCCAGCGATGACGGTTCGCGGATATTCTCAAAATACTACACTCCTCCTCACGCTGCCGCTGGCGCACCAGGAACAGGAGTGGCCGCCGGACTCGGTACGCAATAGACGCTCCTTTTACCCCTTATTCGGTGTCGCATGTTCCCGTGAGGCTGACCAGCCCGAACCTTGTGCACAACAGCTTCCTCGAGCGCTTCCCAGAACCCCTATCCCGACAAGACTTCTCAAACCCGTTTCGAGAAGGGCCTCCTTCAGAAGACAGCAAAGCAGACGGGCGATATCCTCCTCTACGACAACAAGGTGGTGCTTTACAAGATGGAGTCGGACGTTGCTATCTACGTCGTAGGTAGCGCGGACGAGAACGAAGTTTTGCTCTACAACGTACTTTTGGCGCTTAGGGACAGCTTGCATATGCTCTTCAAGTGAGTTTCTATGGCGAACGTGAAGGTGCCGGTCATGGGATATGATATGGCTAATCACGGACTTTCTACTTAGGCAATCGATCGACAAGCGCACAATAGTCGAAAACTACGATCTGGTATCCCTCGCTATCGACGAAATCGTGGATGACGGCGTTGTTCTCGAGACCGATCCCACCATCATCATTCAACGATGCAGCAAGGCGCCGCCTGCCGATGTCAACCTCAGCCGCCTCGACCCCTTCACCGAGCAGGGTGTCAACAACTTGGCACAACTAGGCAAGGCTAAGCTTACTGACTGGCTTCGTCAGGGTCTCTAAGGGCATGCGTGGGTGGGTAACGACAAGGGAAGGAGTGTGGCGGATGGAAGCAACCAAGGTAACGTTGGCGCATTGGTTCGTGAAAATGTACTAGGCCCTTTTGTTTGGCGAGCCTTCTTATAGCAGAGTAATGAGCCAAACGCGAAGAAAAAAAGACACGAAAAGCCAACAAATGATGGGTTAGCAGAAAACAGGAGTTATAGTCTTTTTCCTTGTGATCTATAGGGTTTGACCCCGTCTATATTCTAATGTCGGAAGCGGCTTTCCTCAGCCTATTCATGACCGCCGCCGCGATATCGTCTCCATCACTCACACCCTCTACGAATATTATATCCGCGCCGCGCCTGTCCAGCTCTCGGAGGGCAGCGAAAAGGCCATGTGCCACCCCCTTAACATCGTTGCCCAGATTAATTTCCAGAAACCTTGCCAACACCGTGGTGCCGTCCTCATCCAGCCATTGCCCTTCCCTAACAGCGAACCCAGTCTCGGCCACGTCCCCGTTGTCCTTTGCAGCAACATCATCAAGCCCCTGACTCCTCAACCCCCCGGCAACAGGCCACCTCCCCGTCCTAATAATCGCAACACTCTTCACGTTTCCCTTGCCCTCCTCCTCCCCAGCCGCTTCAACCGCCTCCCTCACATCCGCCCTCGGCACCTCCATCCTCCCTCCCTCCGCCTCATACAACACCACCCGCGCCTTCGGGCTATAATGCTTATACTTCATCCCCGGCGCTCTCGGCGCCGTCTTTCCTCCGATCTCTGCCTGATCCTTATACGCCTTCTCCACGCCTTCCCACCCCTTACACTCCCTAATCTCCTCCAAGCTGACCCCGCCCGGCCTCAGCACCACAGGCGGCGAGCAAAGCCCGTCGACGACCGTGCTTTCCACCCCCACGCTGCATGATCCTCCGTCCAAGATCAGTGCGATGCGACCCCGTAGATCGTCTAACACGTGCTGTGCGGCGGTGGGGCTGGGTTTAGTGCTGGCGTTCGCGGAGGGCGCGGCGAGGGGGGCGTTGGCGAGTTTGATCAGCGAGCGAGCCAGCGCCGAGGCGGGCATTCGGCACCCGAAGGTGGGTAGGCCGGCGGTTACTTCCGGAGCGAGGAGGGAGGGGGAGGGGTTGGGTAGCAGGATGGTGAGGGGGCCGGGCCAGAAGCGGGTTATGAGGGGGTGGTAGATGGCTGGGATGGGGTCTTCTTCGTCCCCTGCTGAGGAGAAGGAGGGAGAGATGAGTGACCGTAACATGCTCAAATCGCAAACGTGCACGATCAAAGGGTTGTCGCTTGGTCGACCTTTGGCGGCATAGATTCCCTTGACGGCAGCGCTGCGGGTGGCATCGGCGCCTAGGCCGTAGACGGTTTCCGTGGGGAAGGCGACGGGAATGTCGGTGGTGCGGAGGTGGTGGGCTGCTTCGCGAATGGGAGACAGAATATTTTCATTTTCTGATGTAGTTGGGACCTCCCATGTGTTGAGATTGCTAGTTTTCGTTTTGCTTCCATCTTTGTGTTCTGCTGACTCCTCCTTCCAGTGGCCGAGCACTTGGATGTTGCTGTCGTCCACCTTCACTTTGAGAATCCGGGTTTCCATTGTCGTCGAAGTTGTCATAGCTGGTGCCATTAATGGCACTGCCGTAAATTTTGGTCTAGTTATCTCTGTGGTTATAGTGTGGTGGTGTCGATTGAGGATTGGGGTGAGTTGTGGGAGGTGCAAGCGTTTGAATCGGGTAGTGAGAGTTAGAATATTGGCGCAAATAGTTCCCCTCATTCAGGGGATTCGACGATTTCGAGAAATGGATTGAAAACCCAGAGTCTGTCGATTATCTTGGCGATTTTGGGCAACAGATATCTTGTGAGGCATCGGTTGTGTTAGACAACAAGTCTCGAACTTGGTGGTGGTGGTAAAGCTCAGGGTTTGGCTCCCTTTGAGTCACTGTGGAGAAATTTTTCTCTTTTATCCGTCTCAACTTCAACCCAAAACCAGTTTACGCCCTATTCTAGGCTGCCCATCTCACAATCACCACCACAACAAAACTTACCTACAACACATGTTGAGCATGGACGGCTTCTTCAATCTTGCCGAACTATGGATAGTAATTCATCTACCAACACATATTGTAATTCGTGAATTCTTTGTATGGTACCGCTTATCTATACCTGACCCTAGATCCATGCTACACCATATACCCCTGACCTCTCTAAGCACGCCAAATACACACATTAAACAGTTACTTCAGTGTGGTTCTGAGACAAATGACATCCCCTTACAAGACCCTACCTCCCTCACACACTCGTGTCCACCTCACTTCCCCTCCTCCCCTGCCTGACCGGAAGCGTATTCACATGCGCATTCGCAAACCCCAAGTGCTCCGAGAAGCTAGCCAACAACCTCATCACATCATCCCTCACCTCCTCTCGATTCGCCATGCCCTGCATCACCCTGACTCTCGGCGGCTCCGGAACATGAGGCATGTGCATCATATCTGTCGAACCCTGGCTATTGCTGTGGCCATGACCGTGACCATGATATTGACCATGACCATGACCATGATGCACCTGGTGACCATGATGCCCGCCACCATGGCTGCCCGTACCATTATTCCCGTTCATGCTCCCGCCCATGCCGTACGCTCGAGGCGGATGGTGCGAATCCGGGTCCGGCCGCATGCCGCTTGGCCGCCGGCGACTACGGTTGCGCCCTTCGCCACTCATCGCCATCGGATCCATGCTGCCGCCCAGGTATTCCGACTCGGCGTACTCGCCAGCTGAATAACCCCCCACGTCGTCGTCGGTGGCGTAGCTGTAGCTGTCCGCGCGGGAGTGGGCGCGGCTGCTGGTCCTGCTGCCGATGCTTCCGCCGCCGATGCTACCGCCACCGATACTACCGTTCCCTATGCTGCCTCCACCGTTGACGGATGAAGCATAGTCGGGCGTGCCACGACCGTTGGTCCCAATGAAATGCTCCTCTGACGGCGCCTGAGCGACCCGGGCGTAGTCGCTGTCGTCTGATACGTAGATGGACGGTTCGCGGACTGATGATGATCGTACGACAGGCAGCGGCTGGTAAAGTGAAGCGTGCCGTTCGAGGTCGAACGGGTTTGCGCCGCCTATCTCTGAACCACTGACAGAAGCAGCGTCCGAGTTGGCTGTGGATGGCCGCGTATACTCCCGATTGGTGAAATCGTTTGTTGGCATAGGTAAGCTTTCATCGAGATCGATCAAGCTCCCTACCGAAACGCGGTTGTCGACCGGAGGCTTGGGCGGCATGGAATCGTAGCCCGTCGATTGGAAGCCTAGCGGGTCTGTAGGGTGGTGTATGAGGGGTGGTCGAACAAAGTTGTCATTGTGGCTGTCGTTGGAGCGCTCTTCATTCCACGGGAAGCGCGACATCTCCGGATGAGCAGAAGCCGGCGGAGCAGCCATTGAAGGAAACTTCCAATCCTGCGTACGGCGGTTGATGTTCATGGGCATATCTGCCGGGTCGCTGAGGGGCGGTTTGCTAAAGTCTGGATTCGGGTTGAAAGCTGCGTAGTCTATCGAACCACGGGGTCCAGCCTTGATGGTCTCCATGTCCACAAACTGAGACAAGTCGTTTCCATCAAAGGACGCATCCAAGTCTATGAGCGACTCTCGTAGTGCCGCCTGTGAGCTCGGTTCATATTGTCGAAGGTTGAGATCCGAGTCTTTTGGTGGCTCCGGTGCTGATGCTGCCTCTGATGTGGACGTTGGACCCAGACCGTAATAGGCACGCGAGTTCTCATTGTAGCCGGAGATCGTATTAGGATCAAACAGCTTTTCCAAAGGTGCCTTGAGAGCCAGTAATTTAGGAGGAGGCGGCCGCCTCCTTCCTTTAGGCTTGGGGCGCCGGGTCTGCTCTTCGTCAAAGTCAAAGTCGACATTATGCCCATAAACATCATACACGGCCTGAGCATCGCTGTCCATGGCCATCCGGTCAAAGTCGACCGTTGTGCTAAAGTTCCACTCGTCATTGGAGAGAGCAGTCGAGGCATAATCGGATGGGCCTTGAGCACCAACGGGCGCAAACAGCGATTTTCGAATACCTCCCTGTGCCTCCCAAACCTTATAACCCCGAACAAGGTTGGAAAGTGATGCTGTCGGGTATTCAGAGCTCGTGTTGAATATGTAAGGGTGCCGTTGGACTTGCTCAATCGTCGGTCGTTTTGCAGGGTCTTCGACCAGACAGAAAGCCACCAAGTCCTTGAGATTGTCTGAGTACTGGTCTCCTTCTAGACGAGGCGCATGGGACCTGATATAATTGCCAAGCTGAGGGATGTTGAACCCCGACATGACATTGGGAGGAAGTCCGGATGCAATCTCGTATACCATAGATCCAAACGCCCATATATCAACTGGTGTGCTGTAAGACGGTGTAGGTTCAAAGAGTTCTGGTGCCATCCAATGAGGCGTCCCAATAAAAGTCGACCGTTTGTCGAATTTGGTCTCCACGATACCAGCCACACCAAAGTCACAGAGCTGTACGGCGCCCGTCTCCGTCACAAGTACGTTGGCGCACTTGATGTCACGGTGGATGATTCCTTCTTTGTGTACCCAGAATATGGCCTCTGCGACTTCTCGTAGGATGGGAATGATCCACTTCTCCTGCAAGCCCCCGGGTGCGGTAGGCTTCATCAGAGTAGCCACGCTTCCGCCAGCACAGTACTCGGTGATCAGCCACATGGACTGTCCAACGGGCAGTACATCGAGAATGAGATTGATGTTCTTTGCGCCGCTGTTACTGAGTAACTTGAGGGCACTGGTCTCCTTCATAAACTCGCTATACGTGTCTGCCAGCCTAGGATTCTCCCTGTCGCTCTCCTCGATGTCAATAATCTTGACAGCCACAACAGCATTGGACTTGTTATCCGTCGCTTTGTATACGCGGCCAAAGCTGCCTTTGCCGATGAGCTCCTCTAGCTGATATGGGGGTGCTTCTTTTCCTGATTTATTGCATTCTTCTGCAACAACTGTCTGCATCTTCTTGGCATCCTCAATGGCCTTTTTCTTTGTAGTGGTCAGGAAATCTGACCCGTATACCGATAGGGTCGCCATGATTGCTGACTTCCCCCGCAAGGACCCAAGGAGACTGTTGGTAGTAAAGTACTGATGATTGTGTGAAGCCTCAGTGTTCCTCTCGTAACTCTACCAGCGAGCCGGTCTAGATATGGAACAGGCTTCTAGCCCCAGGCGGTGTGACGGCAACGTAAGTGTGTCAATCAAGAAGACACCTCAGCTGTGCAGCGTTACTCTGGTGCTTTCTGGGCGCGTGGTGAGATCAATGTGCTAATGAGTCCTAGGCCTCAAGTGAGTTTCAAAATGCACTTCGCAGATGCTAGATAAGTTAGTCCCATAGGAGCCTCAAGATTTCCAAGATAGTGACCATGTAAAAAAGGCAACGATAGGAAGCTATGAGGACAATGACTGAGGGAAGCCCGATCGGATGGTCTATGGGAAATGTCAGTGTTCCTCAACTCCTCAACTGTGAGGTTGACGGATGTTTTAATGTATGTATTCAGCAATGAGTCTAGAGATGGAGGTAGGGGTACAACTCCAATGTCCAAGAGTGACACCCTTGACAGAACGGTTGAAAGGAAAGGGCAAGCCTCGACCTTGCCAAGGATGAGAGATCATGTTATCAATCTGATATAGAAAGAGAGCAGGTGTACTCACATTGAAATTGGTACTAGGAGTATCGCGGTATGCGTGGTATGTCCGGTCCCTCCTACCGATGAGATCTCCCGTTGTTGACGACGGACGATGAGATTGTGAAGAAAAGCGAGCGACTTGTGTGAGGTTCGGAACTTGCCCGAGTCAGGGTCACCCAAGTCCGCGTTAGGTACTCGGCTCCTTGCACTGCCAGGGGCAAAGTCGCCCAGAGGTGTAAACTTGGCAACAGGAAAGTCACACCGAAGCACAACGCTCAGGATCCTTTACAGGACCGAACAAACGAGCCAGTTCCAACTTTCATGCAACAGAAAAACAAAAAAGTATTTTTGGCCTCAAACACGATGGCTGGATCATCGGTGGAGCGCAGATCGATGGATAAAGGAAAGCGGCTCCTTGTTGTCAGTGCGCGTCCACACCGCTGGCTGACAATGTGCCCGTCCTGACTGTTGGTTGTTGACTTGTTGTGGTTTCCACCAGCAATCTGAGGACTTGACAGCGGATAGAAATCAGGGGACAGAGCCGAAACTCAAGATGTGCTAAAACAGGGAGCTCCAAAAGGGATTCCGTCGTAAGCGAGATCAGCCAATGAGAGCCTCATAACGCATACCACCACGTGGATGCTGCTCCACCTGTGGAGGATGTTCGAGTTCCTTTGAGCGGGAGCTCAGCGGTCCCAGGTCTTAGATCCAGCCCTGTAGCGGGTCTCTATCAATGTGTAGGTATGTAAGGTGGTAAAACATGGACGTCAACCAACAACAAAAGCACCTCTCTTCATTTAGTTCACGGTCTCCTGTCATTTGATACAAATATCTTCACGTCTGCCCGAAAGGAAGATCGCGCATGTTCCAGATCCACAACAGGCTCAGATCCTTCTCGCTGACCATTCCAACAGAGACTCAAGAGCTCGATCTACGGTGCCTCGCCTGAACCCTCCAATCTCTTCACCATCTTCCCATGAATTCCTTCCCAAGCATTTTCACATTGACCTTTGGCAATTCCAATCAACAGCCTCGAACAGCTGATCTCTACATTTTCCACAATCTCCAACCTCCCATCTGGCCCCTCATTGATCTCCCACACGGTCTCCATGACCATTGAGAGCGGGCTTCTGATTCGGACAAAGAGGCCAGTATCCAGCTTCGCAAACTCATACGTGCTGACAACGTTGCTGTCCCACAACCCGGCGGGCAGCGTGTGTATAACATCGGTGACCTTGTAGGACTTTGTCTCGCCTAGCATTCGCGGCTGCACAGCGCTTGGAACGACTGGCGGCGCATTGAGGGCAAGAGGTTCGCATTTGGCGAGATGAGGGTCGCACGAGAGAAGGAACTCGTGGTCTTGTAAGAGTGCTATCGCCTGCTCCCGGGTGATCTTCGGTGGGAGGGGAGACTTGTGTACGAGTTGCGCTTTGGTGGAGAGGACTACAGCGGCCTCTCTGTTAGTGCTGTGCGTAGTTGTAGTGTTTGCTGAATTGTTACGAACATGACATGTTTGTGATCTTCTTGATCGACGTTCATAAGAGTGGATCCTTGCCGTAACTGTACGAACAGTTTGAATGAGACTCGTGGTAAAGTGTGCGAAGGTGGAAAGCAGATAGCGGTTCGGTTGATATTCCCCGAGTTATGCTGCTCTTCTCTTAACCTCACATTCACAGAGTGGCGAAGCGGTCGTAAAGACAAACCCAACATGGGCAGTCCACTAGGGCGCGCTCTAGCTGAAGGGCCGTTACCAAATTGTGATAGGGACTACAACAATTTCGAAACACATCGGTCTGATGGGCTGGTCGTTGTCAAATCCTAAACAGCTCGACTGAAAGACCAGTTCTGAAACAATGCTGTGAAGCGCCGGATCAAGGAGAACACAACAGGGGCAGCTCCATTGGATAAGCGTCCAAAGTCCTTTACAGTGCGCGAACGTTCGGTTCTCGGTGTTCTCATGTGCATAACAACTGAACCTGAGGGCACTGTGAGTAGGAACACAATTGCAGTTATTTGTAGACGTTCCTAGGTTATAGCCCGCTCAATGTTTTACTAGGTTATGGGATAAGGTACACAGTACAGCTCTTAAAGACTTTGTTAAAGCACAGATCTAGAAGACAGTGTATTTGCTAACAGCGGAACCATAGCAAAGTCTATCGGCAGGTACATGGGGTTAGGGTTCTCTTCCAAGAGAAAGGAGCTTGGGCCAATCGGTCGCCCAACCTAATTGATGCGATGATGTCGTCGCATGGGAAATCGGATTGGCGCGACTTTCTCCATGAACCCTGAAGGCCAATCCAAAATAATACTAATCAGGTCATAGTTCCGGGATTCCAGCACCATCACAAGTGCTGTAGCTACTATGGAAGCAGTAGCAAGGAGAAAAGCAGCTGCCTATGTCTGCTTGAGTTGTACCCGGCAATTTCAACGACAGATTCGACGACAATACCACAACGCCGCCCCACGACCTGACATCTACGATGTCGTGTGTGTTGGCGGAGGACCGGCAGGTCTGAGTCTCTTGACTGCCCTGCGTAAGTCGCCAATTTGTGTCCCAACCTCACACTTGGTCAGTTGCTTACTCTCAGGTTTGCAGGCGCCAATCCCGTCACCTCCCACCTCCGAGTTGCCCTAGTCGAAGCCCAGGGTCTATCCAAAGTCAAGTCATGGAAGCTACCGCCAAACAAGTACTCGAACCGATGCAGCTCCCTCACGCCCACATCCGCTTTCTACCTCGACCAGATTGGTGCCTGGGAACATCTCGATCAAACCAGAGTCCAACCGTACCATGAAATGCAAGTTTGGGATGGCGTTACGGATGCCCGGATCGAATTCGACTGGGCACCCGGTTCGGCCCTGGTAGAAGGAACCACCATCGCTTACATGAACGAAAACCTCAACCTCACATCCGGTCTACTGAAGCGACTGGAGCAACTGGGTGGTGTATCGGTATTCGAGGGTGCTAAAGTTGAGAACATCACCTTTGGCGAGGAGACGGAGAACCTGGATCTTAGGCAATGGCCTGTCGTACACATTTCTGGAGGCAAGCAGCTTACTGCCCGCCTTTTGGTTGGAGCCGACGGAGCAAACAGCCCAGTCCGTGCCTTCGCGGGTATCGATGCGAAGGGTTGGGATTACAACAGACACGGCGTGGTGGCCACGCTAGAGATGGAGGGCGAGGGTTGGGGCGAAGAGCACATGAAGATTGCCTACCAGAGGTTCCTTCCCACCGGTCCTGTGGCTATGCTCCCCATGCCTGGAAAGTATTCGACCCTTGTCTGGTCTACAACCCCGGAGAATGCCTCATTACTTAAGAGCCTCTCGCCCAAGGATTTTGTGGCTATGGTCAACGCAGCATTTCGTCTTAGTCCAGTGGATCTGGCCTTCATGCACACACAAGGGGCGAATCAAGACGATGAGTATTCGTGGAGGTTACAACACACATCCTTCAACCCGCGGGCAATCCCACAGACCGTAGTTGGAGTTCAGGATGGCACGGTTGCCTCTTTCCCATTGAAAATGCGCCACGCTGATACCTACATTGGAGAGCGTGTCGCTTTGGTAGGCGATGCCGCTCATACCATTCACCCACTGGCAGGCCAGGGCTTGAACCAGGGCCAGGGCGATGTGCAGAGCTTGGCCAAGACGATTGAGCACGCCGTCACCCATGGACAGGATATTGGAAGTATCATGTCACTCGAGTCTTACGTATCGGAACGATACACAGCAAACCATGTGCTTCTTGGGGTCGTTGATAAGCTCCATAAGCTCTATTCTGCCGAAAGCGGCCCGTTAGTGCCCTTGAGGTCACTGGGCTTGAACGCAGTCAACGCTCTTGGGCCGTTGAAGAGCTTCTTCATGAAGCAGGCTGCAGGAAGCGGCACCAAGCTCTTCTGAGCTCCGGCCCTCCATCTTCAAACATGATGGGCAGCTTTTGAAGTAGTGTATATGTATTTGTACCAACTTGAGCCATGTGTCATGTATCACCACATCCCGTGCGAGTTTGCTTCTAGGGAGCAGCTGAACCAACTTACCGCGAGATCATTGGTAACGCGGAGCCTCAAGACCCCTCAATAACGCTACGAGACGGGATTTGTTCGATGTTTGAATTGTGACTCCCGTCTATACAAACACTCCCAATGGACCTAGACAACCTCTTGAACCACATCAGATCACAAAATGCCCCTTACGCGATCTCCTGACAATTCAGTCCCATATCCTTCGACTCACACCGAGGCAGCTGAGCCAGGCTTCAGCGGTTGGTATACTCTACCTGTAACCCTACATCGACTGCCTTCATGGCCGGGCCCTCCGGCTCATTGGACTTACGTTTGCTTTGTCCCTTTTGCGGTTCCAACCTGTGCAGTCCACTCTTTCGTCTTTCTTGCGCCGGCGTCAGTAGTATCCACCGACTAGTACTGGCCTGTTCGTCCGCAATCACGACGTTCTGCCAAAGGAAGTGTATCAATTTGCCGTATCTTATTAACCGGACACGGGCAAGGCGCTCGACCTTGCGTGCCTGGAGCGACCGAGCCTTATTTTGCGAGCCAGGCAACAGCTTGGGACACCATTCTCACTGAGCGCAGCTATCTGTACGAGCCACGCTCTGTTTACATATCCAGCCAGCCATCTATTCATAGTATCTCTAGGCAGACCTCTCCACTCGATGAGACTATCAGCTTTCACAGGGTCAACATAAAACCTGCCCAAATTTTACAGCCGCGAATCCGAAAAATCGTCTACAAGTGACACGAACCCGGTGCCTCATCGCAGTCCTAGATCGAGTATATTGCAGAACTGGTCATTTTCGAAGAAATTAGCTGATCGGTTGTCGGCTGGCATCCTCAACAACTTGCACTTGGCTTACCATTGCCGGTACCAGAAGTCAATCAAATCTTCCATCTGCAGTGAGTGCGCTATAAAACACTGCGTCGTCAGCCAGGTTCTCATCTGTTTGTCGAACGATGAGGATAGGCCCGCTCAAACATCAGAGTATACAAATTCAGTGAAAACCACCCGGAGAGGACTCCGGTGCTCAAGCAGGCAGGCGAATTTCGACAACTGCTCATCTTGAAAGGCTTCTCTTCGTCGGAGCCATTGAGTCCGCTCAATTCCGCCGCCTTAGGATTGACGACCAAGTTACAACAACCTCGCAGGACGCTTCAGAGGGTGACCGAAGCAGTGGTCAGGATCAGTTGGCAATTTTATTCATACAACGGTCCTGAACTTCAATGCAGTCTTCGTCGATATCTCTACGTATCAATATCGCTCAATTAACCATAGCTCTGGTTCACTTTCAACTGCGGCTTAGCCAGGCCCAGTTGACACGAGATTTCCGCGCAAGCAGCTCAAGTCAACAGAGGGATGTGTATCCAAGAGTATATTGCCTACCAGTGTGGGCACCGAACGCCGGGTGTCGTTCGCCCGTGCCCCCTGACCACCGCAGGACACAACTTCCCCGTCTGCACCATCCAGCCGTCAAAGCAACACCTAGCACAAACCATGTGCGGCCCTTGCGAAAGACTCCTACACTCACGATGGGTACTTATTCGGGAGTGGGAGCATCGCTGGCTACATGAGCGTGGAGTTTGCGGCTGTGATGTGGTCTTCCCCGGCCTTCTGACCCGACCTCGCGTGATTGGCAACGTCCTAGGTTCAGAGGAAGACTTCACCGAAGGGACCCGAGACGACACAATCGGACGTTGTGGATCTGCTCCCACTCGCCATGGTACAACGGAGGTAGAGGAGGCACTACAACAAGGCAATACAGGAACAAGAACTTACCACATCCCGCCCATATTCACCGAGACCGCTACCGGCGATCAGCAGCGTGTTGCCATCCGCTTGCCCAGCTTGTACGCGGCCGAGTGGCTAGCTGATCACCGCGCTCTCCACGACAGCGGGAGATGCCAGTGTCCGGTTCGTTTTACGCCCTTTCAGCCTGACGTGGGAGAATATGCCATGATCACCGGGGAACGGGAGTATCTCCAGGAATACCGCCAGACTGAAAGCCGCAATCGGGCCATAAACAAGGGTGAGGAGGAAATTACTTTACGGAGGGCCCAGATCAATGATACGTTTGGAGCTTTTGATCCTGCTGCTGCTGCGTCATCACCCCCGGCCAAACCGAAACATCCTCTTGTATCTGATTTACCTCCGACCGGCCCTCGTCATACCAGAGCTCCCTCGCATCACCGCCAGAGCCACTGCCTTCATCATCAGCAGGAGCATTTTCATCAAGGACAGGGACATCACCACAGCCAGCCAAGGCATGCCACTTCGGTGACTTTCGCCACGAACACCTCCGTGCCTTTCCCCCAGGGGCGGTCTTGTGATCCGGCAGCACAGCACCAGCAGCGACCGGAGCTTTTCGGCCTGGCAGATCAGCCAGTGCAGCTCTCTATTCGTTCGTCGTCCTACGCCGTCGCGTCGGTCTACGGCAACCATGAACACCACGTCTACGGACCACACACCTTCGTACCAATGGGCATTGTTTTCCCCGATCATCGTGACCACGAGCCCGAGACTCAGGATGGACCGCAACAGCTTCAGCAACATTGTCAGGAACTTCGTTCCCTAACCAGTAGTTCCTCTCCGCCTCCGCGTCATCCATTCCCATTTCCATACTGCGGTTTGCCCGTTGGCTCCGGACCAGAGGGCAGTGAAGTACACATGCCTAATTGGGAGGATTGTCAGTTGAGAAGATGCAAGTCGAGCTTCCAATCTGAATCTGAACCTGGACCTGGACCTGGACCTCGTTCTAGAGCTGGGGTGGTTTCGAGCGAGGTTGAAGCTGAGACTAATAAGGTTGGAACCGATGCTGAAACCAATGACGGAAACGGAGACGGAACCGGGAATGATGCTGAAGGTGGTTGTGGGGCTCAAGTTGATCACGCCGAGCAGTACCAGCAACACCGGACAAGTTTGGGAAGAGGACACCAGCGGAGCTCATCGTACTCCTGAGCGGGATTAAGGATTCTTCATCTTGAGTCCTTGGACTGGTGAGTCGTCATCCCATCGCTTCCATGACTTGTTTCGAAGATTTAAATCCCTGGTACTTTTATGAGAGTGGCCCAATTTTGAAGCTAACAATATAGAGGACGGCGAACCACGAAAAATCAAATTCTCAGCGCGCAGTGTGACGGCGGGATGGAGATTACTCAAAGTCGACAAGAGAGCGAGTGTTCGCTCCGCGACAATGTTCTACGGCAGCCAGTCCAGTGGCGGCTGAGAAGTTATTGTAACAACAAGCAGTCGTCGCATTGCCTTTTTCCATATCTCGTCTCACAGCACCACACAACTATGCACATCAAGGACTGGCACAACTAACACCAACACCACAGAAAATATTGAACAAGAAGGACATGGATGATGTGTTGCACACAACTCAACGACGAAAGACCAAAGCATAGCATCCTTTCACTTCAGTCTTTCTTGTGAAGACCCGATGACTGAATTGGCCATTTTTCTTCTGTTGCTGGTCTGGTCTGCCTCTATCTATGTTTCCTGTTCCGTTTTGCCAGGGGATAAGAGAAGAAGTCAAAACGTCCCACCTTTATCAGTAAAACCCAAAGTACTGTTTCTCCTTTAGGCGTTCTTCAAAGGTAAAACGTCGCGCGCGGCCTGCTTATCCGCTAATTTCAATATCTGCAGTTGCTGTGCTTCATTCATAAAAAAATATATCCCATGCGTTGCGTTCCATGTCACAAAGTTTGCAGCCGGAGCTTCAACATTACCGATCGACCTCACCTAGAAGTAGGAATAAAAGCGTTAGCTACCAAACTACTCGAGATTTTAAAGAAGAGAGTTTCAGGCAATAAGAATAAAACTTACCAAACACCAAATCCATTGTGCCGATAACGGCCACAGCATCAGCCAACATGTGGCCCCTCGACAAGTGGTCAAAGCCACCCAGATGAGCAAAGCCGGGAGCGCGGATGTGCACACGATACGGCCTCTCGGAACCATCACTAACGACATAGACGCCCATTTCGCCCTTAGGGGCCTCGATGGCCGAGTAGGTGTCACCGGGCGGGACGGCATAGCCCTTGGTGTACAGCAAGAAGTGGTGGATGAGGGCCTCCATGTTCTCCTTCATGGCGGAGCGGGGCGGCGGAGAGATCTTGTAGTCTTCGACACGGACGGGACCAGCGGGCATCTTGTTAAGGCACTGGTGGATGATACGGAGTGACTGACGGAACTCCTCCATGCGGCACAGGTACCGGTCGTAGCAGTCGCCGTTGACGCCGACGGGAACGTCAAACTCGACTTGGTCGTAGGCGTCGTACGGCTGGCTCTTACGGATGTCCCATGGCACGCCGGAACCGCGGAGCATGACGCCCGTGAAGGACAGGTTCAGGGCGTCGGCAGCAGAGACTACGCCGATGCCGCGCAGACGGTCTATCCAGATGCGGTTGTCCGTAAGCATCTCCTCGGTTTCGTCGATGCGGTCGCCGAACTGCGTGGCCCACATGTAAATGTCATCGAGCAGGCCGAGAGGGATATCTTGGTGGACACCTCCGGGGCGGACGTAGGCAGCATGGAGACGGGCACCAGAGACTCGCTCGTAGAATTCCTAAGGTTTTTTTGACATATTAGATTGAGCTGCTGGGGTTGGGTGCTGCATAGTATTCCCAGGTCCTTTCGCGTAGAGTTTCGCGCATTGATTTTTAATATCCCCATCTGATAGAGACCGCCGATATTTAACGAAAAATACAAATCAACACTCACCATCAATTTCTCTCTTTCCTCAAAGCCCCACAAGAAAGGCGTGAGAGCGCCGACGTCCATGGCGTGAGACAGAACAGACATGAGATGGTTGAGAATACGGGTAATCTCAGCGAACATTGTGCGAATCCACTTGGCACGCTCGGGGATCTCAACGTTGAGCAGCTTCTCAACGGCCAGAGCGAAACATTGCTCGTTGGTCATCATGGAGACATAGTCGAGACGGTCAAAGTAGGGGAGCGCCTGAAGGTAGGTCCTGTACTCGCACAGCTTCTCGGTGCCGCGATGCAGCAGGCCGACGTGGGGGTCGGCACGGACAATCTCTTCACCCTTTAGCTCGAGAATCAGGCGCAACACACCGTGAGCGGCCGGATGCTGAGGACCGAAGTTGACCGTGTAGTGCCGCACCTTGCGGGCCAGGATATGATCCTGGGGAGGCGCTCTCGGGGCACCGTCTGCCTTCAAAGCCTCTAAGCCGTACAGATCGTTGTTGGGCGCAAAGTCGTCGCCGGTAGGGACCAGACGGGTTCCTTGGCCCTCGTAGCTGGGCTCGGCATACCGTCTGAGAGCGGAGGCAGAAAAGGCGCGAGTCGAGTTGAGGTTGTTAGCGATGGGGGCGCTCTGGCGCATACAATGGCGCTTGGCATTGCGCCCAGCGAGTCGGAACAACGTCGTCGCCATTGTTGTTTGTGGGACTGCCGCTTGCTTTTGATTGCTCAGAAGGTCAGGGAACGGGAATGGATAGATTCGCAGGATTGACAGCGACGAAGGACAAAGGGGAGGAGGTTCGCCGCTGGATGTGGCCTCTTCTCCGGCGGTTCAATGGCTCGCAGTGAGCTTGCGATTCTAGTGATAGCAGTAATAAGGTGGTGGTGGAGGTGCTTCAGTTGACGTCCAGTCGACTTTCCCAGACCACGGCCGCGGCAACGCCCCAGCTTCGAACTCCTCAAATCGTTGCCGTCCGTTGGTCAGTGAAATTCAACCCAATCAAACGCCATCAGTTGAGCAGTCAGAGACCAAGCTTCTTCTGGTACAACGTTCCCCCCACGGCGGGCAAGCTCCCGTCTCGACTGTTGCCGGCCAAGGCGTTTATCCGGCAGCCGTGCCGCCAAGCGGTCCCATGGAGGGCAGCCGCGCTATATGCCATCTGATTGGCTGGTTGTAGAAGCCTCGGTCCTTCGCTAGGCAGTCTCGAGGCAGTGTTGTAAGTTGGAATTTGGGCTTTTTAGGGAGAGGTTTTCGCAGAAAGGAAGAGGATGATGGAAGAGCATGTCCACACTTCTAACTTTTATGACCACAGAGATTCCAAGATGTGCTGGAGTTAGGAGTGGAGTTAGTCAACATGTCACTTACTCGCGACAAACCTCGATGTGGACATGGAATTCGAAGCCCTGATGTCTTTCCCTCGCCGGAGCTACAGATTTGTGGATTTTGGAACTGATGCTCTCGACATGCAAGTATATCTAGTTAAATGTATCTTCCATCATACCTATGCAACCCTTTGTAATTGGAGATCCGGCGTTCTCTCTTCGCCTCAGGTTTCGTCGATGGTCGAAGTCGACGGTAACCTGACAGAGGTTATGGCCCGCCATGTACCCTGTTGGCCTTGTCCCAGTCATTGCGGTCCTGTCCACAATTGTCTCCGCCGAGGCCCATGGGCATCAAGTTGAGCCAGGCAGTCCCTGAACCTCTCCGCCACTGCCTGCAGCGCGATAAGATCTCAGCCAACCAATCAGCCGCGCTCCTGCAAAGGCGGTCAAAAAGTTCCCGTTCGTGGGAAAAATTCTGCCGCTCCATCGCCCGTCGCACAGCGCAGAGCTCTCTTTCCCAAGATTTTGCCCGGCGTGCCGACCTGCGTGTGAAAGCGAGAGGGTAACCCCGCCAACCTAGAGCATTATTTACACATATCGTTGCAATGGGATCCTCAAAGAAGCAGACCGCCGTGCCCGTCAGGACAAAGGTCCCGAGCCCAGAAGAGGTTGAGAAGCGTAACGTACGTCAATCACTGGCTTGCCGCCTATCACCATCAGTCGAGGCTGCGCCGCACATGCAACGAGAAACTGATGGCATTTTCTTCTGCAGACTGTCCATATCAACGCCGAAACTGTCACCAATGTCACATCCACCGACTTTCCCGGCTTCTACCCCGGCGAGGACCATTCCTGGGATATTGAAAAGTTCCGCGAAAGTGTCCGCGTAGTGTTTCACCAGAACGACCCTTATGAGGCTCAATTCTCGCTCATTGGCGTCGACGCCTCTATCGCCAATGCCTTCCGCCGTATCATGATTGCCGACATCCCCACGCTGGCCATCGAGGACATTTTCATGTGGAACAACACCTCTGTGATCCAGGACGAAGTTCTTGGCCATCGCCTGGGCCTGATCCCGTTCACCGGCGGCAAGGAAGGCCTCCATAACTTCCTCAAGTGGTACAAGAAGGGCGAGACCCCGTGCGACTACAACACGGTCGAGCTCGAGCTCAAGGTCAAGTGCGAGAACAACGAGAGCGCGCCGGCAGACAGCAAGGACCCCAAGGAGCTCTACCACAACGCCCATGTTTACGCCAAGGACATCAAGTTCGTGCCCAAGGGCCGGCAAGCCAAGTACTTCTCGGGCGAGAACGCCATCCGGCCCACGAACCCCGACATCCTCGTCGCCAAGATGCGGCCGGGACAGGAGATCGATCTGACGATGCACATGCACAAGGGCGTCGGGTCCGATCACGCCAAGTTCTCCCCCGTTGCCACGGCCTCGTACCGCCTCATGCCGACCATCACCATTCTCGAGCCGATCCTGGGCCGCGACGCCGAGAAATTTCAGAAGTGCTTCCCCGAGGGCGTCATCGGGCTGGAGAAGGTCACCAAGGAGGAGGCGAAGAAGAAGGGTAGCGGATACGAGGGCCACGAGGGCGAGCTCAAGGCCGTGGTCCTGGACGCCATGCGTGACACCGTCAGCAGAGAGTGCTTGCGCCATGACGAGTTCAAGGACAAGGTCAAGCTGGGCCGAAGGAGGGATCACTTCATCTACCTGGTGGAGAGCACGGGACAGTGGGAAAGCGACGCCATCTTCCTCGAATCGATTGCCCACCTCAAGGAGAAGGCGAAGAGGTTCGAGAAGCAGGTGGTGAACATGGTACAGTAAACATTGTACCAGGGGTAGGGGGATTCAGGACAGCACGAAGAAGAGGTGAGGTTATTTCTATGTATGGTGGTTGAGACAGAATTTGAGCGATCATCATGTGGAATCACACAGGGAAAGAGGAAACATCACACGGATCAGGTCGTGAGGATACCCATCTCTCTTGTAACCATATAAAAGAACATTGGAACGGCGTCATGGAGGCTAGGGATTGGTGGCCAGCTTTAGTTTAATGGTTTCTGCTTGTTAATTATCATAGACATGTCGGTGCACATGAGTCATAAACCACACTGTCTTGCATGAACACAATACCCCTCATTTGACATGATGTCTTTTGGCTACGTACTGCGTAGCATGTTGTTGAAGCACACTGTTAATCATATCTTGTATTGACATCTACTCGATTGAATAGGCAGCTAACTCATCGCTATAGCCTTCTTGCGGGTCATTCCCCGCTGCTTGTTGTGCAACGCTCCCGCTTGTAGGTAACTCACAAATCCAGCCTCTAAATAGCATAAACAAAGTCCAGGCAAACCAGGCCAGGTTATCATGACACGTTCATGTCTGGGGACCATCATGCAAACTTGAGGCTGAAGTTGAACACCACGCCTACAAACGCTGGATCAGTAACGGCGATCTCAGTACCTTCCGTCAGCCCAAGCTGCTCAAGTGTCTTCCCCAAGTTTGGCCGCGTCTGCTCCTCCAAGTTCGGGGGCAACTGCATGTACAGCGTCTTGCCCTCAGCCCGCACCGACGGTTTCTTCAGTTGCGCCTCAGGAAGGGTAGCGAACGACTCTATGAGCTCTTCGAGCGTCCACTTGGGGTTGACCTTGAGCACCCTTGCCGTCATGCCGCACACGGGGCAGTCCTCTTTTTGCTCGTGCTTGAACGTATACGTGTAAATGCTGTCGTTGCCGGAATACATCATATAATTAGGCTCGCCTTCGCCGGGGGTGCCCAAAAAGGGCGCACAGCTGGATGCGATCTTGAGTGCCTCGTTGCAGCAGGCCGCGGCGATGACCGAGTTCGTGGCCGCGATGGCCGGGATAATGTTCTTTACCACGCCTTGCGTCAGAGAGTACGTGACGCCCGATATGTTGAACTCCTTTGCCCGCTCGAGGGCTTTCTGGTAGAGCCAGGTGATGTGCTCCGGGTCGTCCTTGTCGAGCTGCGGGAACGGCTTCTCCTTGTCCCAAGCGATGACGTGCGCCCATTCGATGCAGTGTTCCGGCTGGCGGGGGATGCTGGCGAGAGTGCAAAGAGGAACGGCGGCTCGGGGAGCGTGCATGTCCAGCTGGCACTCGATACAAGAGCCCATGGTCGGTAGGATAACGCGGGCTTGGCCCTTGAAGCCCTCGGTGCCGCCGTCGATGAGGGGTTTCATGCTATCAGGGTTTTCACAACTCGCCATGTTGACTAGGGTGGCGTTAATCCATCGGCGTGCCTCGATGCTGTCCAGTCCGCAGACTACAATCTGGAACTGCTGGTAGAAGTCTTCATCGAAGTCCTGTATCTTGCAGTTATATGGCGTGATCTTGACGCCTTTAACTCTTCTCTCAACGAACTTGGCAGCTACTTCGGCTTTGAATTTCCCTACGTCCGCATGTCGGAAGAGAAACTGGCGGTTAAGGTTGGAGATGTCGATCGTATCTAGGCTTCCAGGTCAGCTATCATTGACATGGCGATATATCTATAGAGGACAACCGACCCATGTCGATGACGGAAATGTCCTTGAACCCGGAAAGAGCGAGGTTCTTGAGGATCTCACAACCCAGTCCTCCAGCTCCGCTACCTTGCCGTCAGTTCTCATAACCATGACCCGTCAAATCATTAAGCTGAGACTAACATGACTCTGGAAAAGGTATCAGCTTCTGCTTGAATAGCTTGATATACGCATACACTTGATGTGCTGCCAGTTGGAAGGATGACTTACAAGATCTTGATTTTGTCCATGTTCTCTACTACCGTTGAGCCATCAAACTCTTCCGGATCCACGAATGCGCCTGGCCGTGTTCGGACATTGTTGAGATACTTCCTATGGTAAAGGTGGCGTGTTAGCTGCTGGGACTCATGCCCTGAAGATATGAAATCCAGGGGGTGTTCTTGGGTTACGATCGAGAGCGCGTAACACCTACCATCTTTTGGCTTCGGAGTCTGGGAGTACTTCTGGACTTGACATGACTAGTTTATGGCTACAAGAGGAGACTTCGCTGGTGAGATAATAAAAGGGGAGGCCGGCGGGTAGGATGAGAAATGCTAGTGATAATATTTGCTGATTAGTCGCGGCTCACAAATTGTTGCAGGTTGAATGTACAATCCGAGGGGTGAGTTGACGGGACAACAAACAAACGGAACTGGAGGAGGGAAGCTTCCATACCTCTAGTTCCACTTGCGGGCGGGCCCGGACTTCAGGTTCGGGGATGGTGAGTGGATAGCTCCTGCCGCCCTGTTAAAGGAGACCCTGTATGGTAGGTTACCAACAGCGGCAACGGAGAGTGCCCGAAAGTGCAGTTCAGGGCCCCTACAGGGAAGGGACGACTGCCTGCACAACGGATTAGTTAGCACTTAGCAGTAACACCGACGCTATCATCCCCTGTTGCTTTCCGTTTGACGCAGATAACTATAGTGAAATGTCGTCGATACCTACGAAACGGAATTTCCACTTTCCTTCCAATTCCGTCCTCTTTCGATCGGTCAAACGATAGGTAACGTTCCGGGTTTAAATTTCACTTCAAGCCCAGCCTGTGTATTCCAAAGTACTTATCACCAACTGACATCACTACAGATATCTGAGATGAACGGCCTCTTGACGCCCATCAGCACCTCCCGCCTGAGTGCGAACCCCAACGAATCTCTGCTCCAGGAAGTTGGCCTCAAAAAGGAAACACTGAAGCCGAACCAATCTCCTGGTCAGAGGCCCTTGAACTCGCCCGAGGAAGCCCTCGAAGTTTTACGACATGAACCTAACTACGACCAGCTCGTCGCTACTTTGCGATTTCTCAGCCATGAGGATCTAGCCGGGTCCACATTCAGCATCAAGGAACCAAGTCCTATGACCGCAAAGCTAGTTCAGGTGCTGGTGTCAGAAATTGTCCCGAACTATTGGACTTTGCTAAACGAAGACTCCCACGAAACCAAGTTTTCGGCCTTGGGACTCTTGCTAGCTTGTCTTCGCAGTCTGACAGGGGTCAATGCCATTATTGTGCGTCTGAGGGCATGGTTACAGGAAGCAAAATCCGGCGATGGCAAGTCCAAGCGACCGGACATCGCAATCAATCTGGCAGTCCTTCTCAACCTGGTAGGCCTGTTACTAAAAGGCAATGATTCCATACGTGGCATTTGGAAGTCAGCTACAAGAACACTGAGCGGGAACCTCAACACCAGAATGCTCTCGCAAGAGATGCTTTCGACCTTTGGCAGTGGTCGGATCATTTCACTGACCGCAGAGGCTATTGAACATGCAAAGGGGCACAAGGCAGAAATCGACCTTAACAACATCTGGCTAGCAAATGGGCCAGAATATACCAAGTGGTTGAGCCAAAATATCGTCAAGTGGCAACTAACCTCGCCGACATCAGATGAGACGAAGCTTTGTTCCGAGTTGTTTTTGAAGGCTCTACGACTAGGGCACTCGGGTAAGACATTCGCGAATAGCTCTGGCTTCTCAAACCATAACTGACTTGGAGGCAGATACGGCCTTGAAATGTGTCCTTACCAGGTTGCTAATTGCTCAAAGGGCCGACAATGAGCGCTTTGGGCTCCTGCTGGGCAATGTTCCTCGAAGCGAGCAGCGTAAAGTTCTCTTTTCGGTGCTGAAGACCTTCGCCGAGGACTATCTTAATCGGTTAGGCACGAGTGATACCGAAGGCAGCAATAAAATGATATCCGCAGTGGCTGGTGCAATCGGCGCAATTACAAAGAATGATCCGGAGAGAGTAGCCTACCTCGTTGAGTGGCTAACAGGTTCGTCTGGCGCTGGACTTGGCGACTCTATTGGTATCCGACGAGCGGTGGTGGCAGTCGTCTCTCAGGATAGAGACTCCATCGTCAGTGTGCTTGAGAAAAGTATTGCCCAGATCGGAGATCAGCTATACGTCAAGCACTCTCCTATAGTACAACAAGAAGGTTGGCTCTAGCTTGGAAATGGTGTTTTCTTCCTCTTCTTGAGCGTAACTAACGGTTTCAAAGTGCATGCGCAGGTGCTGCTCCTGAGCGCTGGATACGTCCACAAGGTCTCGCCCTTGAAACTCACACTGCTAATGAGATCAAGCCCATGGCTAAATGCCATCTCCAACAGGCTATCGTCATCAAATCAGAGGGCTCGTTTCCTGGGCATGGTTATTGGCGAAGGGCTTTCCAGTCTCGTTGATAAGGGTGATAAACGCCTGAACTTCCAAGTCGAAGAAATGGAGGTGCCAGATGGAAAGTGGTACAAGAGTCTTGTTGAGATACAGGACACACTTGGCTCATGGGATCCGCTACTCAATCCTCAAGAGCTTACACAAAAAAGGACGAGCTCCAAGAGACCTTCCCACAAGCCAGCACCAACACAGCTTCGGACCCAAGGTTTTATCATCGAAGAACTGAGCGATGAGAGCCTTAGCGAGCAGGATGATGTTGTTGGGTACAGCAAGCCCGACTCAGATGCCGAAGACTCGGATGACGATCCAGAATTGGTCAGGAGAGACAAGGCAAAGGCACCGGTTTATATTAGAGATCTCATCAGGTGTCTCCGCGACACCGATGATTATGATCGCCAGAAGCTTGCACTCGTTACCGCCCCAACGCTCATCCGACGAAAGGCGAATTATGGCACAGAGGTTACTGATCACGCCGAGGAACTCGCATCTTTACTCGTCGGTCTCCAGGACAAGTTTGAGATGGACAAATTTGACGACTTGCGACTGCAAGCAATGATTGCCATCGTCGTTACGCAGCCCCAACTCATGGGCCCGTGGTTCGCGAAGACCTTCTTTGACGGTGACTACTCGGTGTCTCAGCGATCTTTGATCCTCACCGTCTTGGGTCTCAGTGCCCATGAACTTGCCGGGTTCGAAACATCCGAGTACGCAGCAGCTGCATCTTTCCCTTCTAAAAGCCTCCCAGAGAAGATAGAGAGGCTATTCATCAGCCAAGGCCCTTCAAATGCCTACCAAAGCTCCTCCTCATCATTGAAGCCTCTGCCTCACAACGCGCTCGAAAGCGTAGCAACGTCCATCACGTCGAGCTTCCTTGCGCCCCTTTCAGCAGCCGCTGCCGACTCAGCCACCGGGCCCGATGTGCTGAAGCTCTCTACCTTCAAGTCCCGTCTTCCCGACCATGACGACAGCAATAACGCAGCAACAGCAGAAGAACAACACATTAGCAACCCCAAAATCAAAATCAAGTCCCGCACCAAGCCGCGCATCCGCGCCATTCCCAACACCACTGCTCAAATCATCTCCACGTCCTTTTTCGACCCTCTCACGGCCCGCTTCCAAGCAGCGCTACATTCATCAGTGTCCCGGGTCCGCGGCATTCTGTTCCAGCCGTTCCTACTAGCCCTCTATCTCAAGACTCTCGCCCTCCTGCTCCACGCCGCGGGGCCGAGTACCCTCGCTCTTCCACAGATGACAGGAGAGCTGTGGCGGCTGCTGCTCAGCACAAGCGTGCGCGCGCAAGCTGTGGGAGACGTCGGCATCACGCAGGCGGTCTTGTTTGGCTTGTTAACACTGCTGGATGTGAATGAGGACCGGATGAGGGATGTTTGTCAGGAGTTGGGGAGGGAGGTGGTGGAGACGGAGGGATGGGTTGCGAGTGTGTTTGAAGGGCTGAGAGGTGGTGATGAGGGTGGGGAGGAGGAGAGGACGAAGATGTTGGCTGCGGGAGTTCTGGTGAGGTTGAGGGAAGGGGTGGAGAAGTATAGATTGATGATGGTTGGGGATTTGATTGGGTTGTGAAGGATGGGCTTTTTGTTTGTAGGGCGGCTTGAGAAGATTAAGAAAAGGGCGGAGATGATGGAGGATTCGAGAGGTGTGGTGGTCTAGGTGGATAAAAGACTGTCCTACACTAGAAATTGAAGGGCTGTGTTGTTTATTACCCCTATGGATTTCCTGTGACCCTGCAGTCGAAGCCTTCATAACCTCGATCAATCAACTCTACCGGAGTGTAATCCTGCAATCGAGGTAGAATGAATAGATGAAAGGGATAACAAGATGAGCAGCAGTGAATATGCGCAAAAAGATTGTAATCTATGGAAGGACTGAGCCAGGATTCAAACTTAAAACTTCACCTCATCGGGACCCCGGGCCACTTAACAAAGATGCATTCAAGCAGGACCACCATCTCACACCACTCGGTCACTGAGCCAGGGGCACTGTCTGAAAGTATCAAACTAGTTCATAACAAATTGCCTTAGATCACGAAAAACACTTCCCTTACGGGTGACGATTGGGGTGATCAGGTGACTTATGGATCTACTGACGCCGACCGGCTTGGCGTAAATGGAGCACGTACCCATGCAACGCTAAAATGGCCCGGTAGCACCGGACGGTCGGTCGGCTGTGGAAGGTTTCAAAGCAACATTGACAAATCAATTGGTACGTACCATTCATCGAAATATTTTGAGGGACGCTGTTGAAATCCTGCACAACAACAGCTCGCTCCTTGTTCTTTTGCTTGTTTCCATTCAACACAACATATCATTCACCATGGCTTCCCAAAGCTTTTCCCTTACCGCCCTTAGTAAGTACCTTTGCACAACCACCGGACTGTTTCGGCATAAGGCGCTCTCGCTGTCCGCGGTGACTAACCATCAATGCGCTCATTACTACAGCTTCCGGCGCCACCCTTGCCGCCGCTCCGGCGCAAATTGCGACCCCTTCCAGTGATGCTCCCGCGAAGCCCAAGGTGCGCCTCCGACCCCCCATGAACCAGCCAGCTCACCGAAAGCTGTACGCAAACGACAATACTGAGAAACAAAAACTAAACAAAAAAAAACATCAAAAAACAGCCCTGCTGCGTGTGCAAGGAAGAGAAGGCCAAGCGCGATGATTGCATGCTTTTCTCCAAGTCCGATGACCCCCAGAAGGACTGCGTGTCGACGATAGACCAGTACCGCGCCTGCATGGCTGGTTTCGGCTTCAAGGTCTAAATATAACCTTCGTTGCCATCGAGTTGAGCGAGCGACTAGCAGCAACAGCAGTAATAACCGACGACATGATGAGTCTTTAACACAATACCCATGTATAATACTACTACAACCACACCCGTGCTGCGGCAGCACCCCAAGCGGCGTTCTCATGCATCTCAAATCTTACTACGGCATACATTTGTACAACTACAACATAGAAAAGGAGGGAAGAGAGAGAGACAGCCTCGAATATGGATTGCTGGAGCTTTTACGGTCTTTGCTACGTTCCTACTTTTCTTCACACGTCGCCGGGACATCGATCTTGTGGCAAGCTCCATGGCCTTTAGCTAAGCCCGGTGGTGTACGGACTATGTCGTCTTGCTGATGTTGACAGCCCTCACTCTGTTCCACTTCTTCTCTTTTCCCAATCCAGAGCATACGAGATTACCATCCGAGGACACTGTGCCCGTCAAATGCGACCACCCAACACACAGTGACCAAATCATTGTCACCATCACCGAGTTCAGCACAAAGCGTTAGCAGCCTCCCACTCCTCCCTCATACCAATCTTCACCATCAGCAGCCGCCGACTTTGACGAAGCTTCCTTCGAGACCATGAATCCCTGCGCACCCTCAGGCAGCAGCTACTGGCCCGACAACCTGTCCACCTCAGAAGTAGCAGCAGCAGCAGCACCATCCTCCGCAGGCTTCTCAGGCTTCGCACGGGGTAACATAACAGCCAAGTCTTTTCGACGACCCTCGTACAAGGCGCAGAGCTGAATACTGTGGTTGCTCATGATGCGCTGCACATCGGCTAGCTTCTTGGCAATGGCGGTCTGCTTTTGATCGCTGGCTTCTACTGCTTCCTTGAGTCTTAACAGACGGGAGATGTGCATGGCTGAGCTGCAAGTAGCATGGATAAACTACAATTAGAACAACAGTGGAAGGGCGAAATTTTTTTTTATTTTTTTTTTAGAGAATGCACCATTGTGACAAACTGAGCGGTCTACCGGTTCAACTTACTGGAGATCATGGTACTTGGAAACTGATTTTCTTACGCGGTCTTGGATGGACGTGAGCGCGCCTTGGTAGGCAGAGAGCAAGGCCTTGCGTTTCTTATCGCGCTCTTCTCTCGCCTGAAATTGAAATAAATCAAGAAGTGAACTAAACGAATATTTTTGTTCACAGGAACAGTAGTTTTGCTCGTGGTTGCTGATTGATGTTCATACCTTTTTGAGACGTGCTCTAGCCGCGCTGGCTTCCTGGAGTCGCAAATTGTATGCTTGGTAGTCGTCGTCGGAACCAGAATCGTCAAGTACGGTGTTAGTCGACTTTCTTGGCCTGGACTTAGCGGTGCTCGCCGAGGGTGCCATGTTTGCTCCAGGATGTTTCCCTTGAACGTAGTCTTTGAAACAGTTCTAGTATTGGGCCAAAGACTGAATCATAATTGACAACTTGAGAAGGAGAAGTGCCAGATGAACAGAAGGAAGTTCGTCCAAATCTCACGATCGATTAATGTTCCCGGAAGTCGGCAGGCAAGTGTGTTTCTCCACAAATACATCTGGAAGGAGCAAGTGACAGGCACCTCCCCTGCAGCAGCGAACCATGGTCCCTGAGCTGTGTGGAATTTTCGGGCGGTGAAAGCTGGCAGATCTTTGATGGGATCGCAAGGCCCCCGCCAAAAAATTGAATGCCGTAGCACAGACAGGGCGCCTCGATTTCCGAAAGTTCAGTTGTACACCAAGCCCATTGACCTTTGACGACTCAGCACACAAGCTGAGAGCCTCGTCAACGACGTCGAGCAATCATGGGCCTCGCCGCTGCCAAGAAGTGAGCGCATATCTTGAGTGGCTGTGCTCCCTTTGTTGACTGCGTGCTAATCGCGAAACTTCAATAGCAAGCGCAAACTGGGAACCGACCCCAACAACACGAAATGGTCCCGTAACGAAACCACTTTCGGCCAAAAAATCCTTCGCGCCCAAGGTTGGCAGCCCGGCGAGTTTCTGGGCGCCAAAGATGCTGCGCATGCCGTACATCACACGGAAGCCAGCTCGTCACATATCAAGGTCACGCTCAAGGACGACAACCTCGGTCTCGGCGCGAAACGAAACAATGGCGACGAGTGCACCGGCCTCTTTGATTTTCAACATCTCCTTGGGCGACTGAACGGCAAGAGCGAGGATGTTCTGGAAGCCGAGAAGCAGAAGCGCGAAAATCACATCCGCAACCACTATTTGGAACAAAAGATTGGAACGATCCGCTTTGTCAGAGGCGGCTGGTTGGTTGGTGACGTGGTCAAGGAAAAGGTGACGGAAGAGGACGGCGTACCACAGAGCGATACTCTCGACCAACAAGTGGAGACAGTTCCCTCTCAGGACACCAAGGGCGCCGAGCTCACAAAAGGCAAATCCAAGAAGAGGAAGGCGGGCAGCGACGAGGAAGACGAGAAGGAAGAAAAGAAGGACAAGAAATTGAAAAAGCGGAAGACCGACACCGAAGCCGAAACAGACAGCGAGTCCTCTAGGTCAAAGAAGAAGGAGAGGAAGGACAAAAAGGAAAAGAAGGACAAGAAGGACAAAAAGAAGCTGAAAGACGCGAAACAGTCTGAAGAGAGCTCTTCAGATGACGTAGAATCGTCTGCTACGGAGACCAAGAAGTCGAAAAAGGACAAGAAGAAGGAGAAGAAGGAGAAGAAAGACAAGAAGAAGGATAAGAAAGAGAAGAAGCGCAAGGAAAAGGGGCTATCAGACTCTGCCACAGAAAGTGAAGACAGCAAATCGAAAGCTCAGAAGAGGACGAAAGACGGTGCTGAAACAGAGACGAGCACACCAGGTGGAAGCGGCACTTCCACGCCTACTGTTACATCTTCAACCCGATTCTTGGCTAGGCAAAGGTTCATTGCGCAGAAAAAGATGGCTTTTACGGACAGCGCTGCTCTCAACCAGGTCAGTATATCAACTCTGGTGAAATTCCCCGTTCTTTGAATGTCATCACTAACTTTGCCTATGCAGATTTTCATGATTAAGTCATAGAAAAGAATTGATGTGGTCGGTTGGGAAGCCTTCTTATGCTGCGTATTAGTTTCTTTTGTTCCACACCTCATGATCGATTTAGCGTTGCTTTTGACCCCAATTCCTCACACACATCATAGAAGCTTTGTCTCGTCTAATGAAATTGAGTTGAAGATACCATTGTCATGACTCGACCAGAACCGCCAGCTCCTTCGCCCGTCATCCTGAATTGTGATCCCTCTGCGCAATATATGTTGATATATATCGCGGCTCCTTGACACTTCACTACGGCGCCGTTCACCGCACTTCCATTTTCGAAGTACCTCGGCTGTCGTGGCATTCGAGTCGAGACCGAACTGCTCGTCGACGCCCGGTAGGATGCTTGGGGAGACGAAGGCGGGTTGATTGTGCCCATAACATCAGACCAAACGATGAATCTACTTCCTGGTATGATACTTGCGCGATCTTCTCTACGCCCATGTTCTATTAATCTTGGCAATCAGAGATTTGAAGAATTTCCTTATGTTAGATCAGATATGCCTGGTGCCTCTAGCATTCCAGAAGCCCAGGCGAAGCGATGCTCAACGATTAAAAAAGATATAAAAAATAAAACTGCGGGAGAATGGTAGCACCTGTCGCTACGGCTCCATTGCGCCGGTTAATCAGTACTTCGGGCTTCGAACGCGAACTGATTGCGGACAGTGACACTCACTGTCTGTCGCCTCGCGTCAGGAATCTCGTCTCTTTCGTGCGGAGGAAGTTTGTTCGCGACAACGAAATCCAACGACAGGACATCCACCATACCTCTCCGCTTTCTTCGCAAAACCTAGATTCTACAATAAGGACGATCACTTTTTTTGTTCTGGCCCATGGATTCTGAGGCCATGATTTGCAGTTGGTTGTTGGTTTTAGGGAACTAAAAAGTACATCCGCCTTTGACGACCACTTTCCAGTTGGCACCCCTCGCCCTTCACTCACCCTTCACTCACCCAATATTCACCCATCTTCGATATCGCAACGCCCAGCTGACTACTTCTTTCCCCGCACCTTCTTCGCTATCCTTAGCACCAACCACCGTTGGCCGCATATTCACATTTCCCGCTGGGCAACATCTGGTGGCTACCTCGAAATCAACTCTGATTTGAACCCATCGCCCGCAGGTCATCGTCATCGGTGATGGAGAAGAAAACTCAATCAGCGCGGCTTCAGCCGCTATCGTATGCAGGCGCTCTCCGGGGGGACCAAGGCGCACGAAAAGTGGTCAAGCCGACGCCCCCTCCGACTTCGACTCCGTTCCTGAAGGCCGCAGCCCCTCTCAAACCTTCGGTCATATCTGTTCCTTCGAAGCCAACTGTGCAGCAACCCCCACCAGCAGTACCTATTTTCAAGCAGCCAGAGCAGAATTCTATAACCGCTTCGTCACGACAGTACTACCCGCAGCTTTCACAGTCTGTGGCTAAAGTCAAACTGGCTCCAATATCTTACGCTCAAGCTGTGACTGGTGAAAGAATATCCACTTTGGTGGTTAAGAAGAAGGAAAAGCAAGGACCGCAGGCGGATTTGCAGAAGGCAGGAGGGGAGATGACTGCACATCAAGAGCTTGAAAAAGGTCCCCAGAAAATTCCGCAGAAGAGCGCGCCGATAGGTGGGCAGAAGAATCCTCAGAAGAGCCCGGAAAAGATTACTCAGAAGACTCAAAAGAAAAGTCCGAAGAAGAAAAAGAAGAAAGGAAATCGTCATCCAGAAACGAAAGCGGCAACGTCAGATTTGACTATCAAGGCACAGCACACTCTTCACCACCAAAAGGCGTCCAAGGAAAGTCAGGAACCGGAGAAGAAGAGTGTTTCTACAATCGAGCGATGTTCGATAGCGCCTCAAGGTGGCGGACACAGTAAGGAAAGCACACGCAGCAAGAATGCATGCGGAGATGCAGCTGTCGGCGGACAAAACCAAGGAAAAAAATTCTACGTCGAACCGCCCCGCGGACGAAGCCCAGTCAAAGTATTACCATGCATACGGAATGCTCCAACCAAGCCGAAGGCCGCAGCTTGGGGTGCCCAAAACTGGCGCTCTTTTACTACTATAAGACCAAGACAACGGAGCACAACTTTCCCTGGTTTCGAAAACTCTTCCCATTCTCTTCACAACCAGTCTCCCACACTCGCCGCTCGCTATCAGTTTGGCCAGTCGCCGTCGACCAGCTTTGCAACAGGTTTTGCTAGACACCCTCAATACAACCATCACGGACATATTTTTGATAATCTTTCCAAAAGCTCCTTACCAACAATGGGCAATCCTCATGGGTACGGGCGTCGTTGCCGCGCTCTTGACGCCGAGCAACGGACCAAAGCAGCAGCAACCCCCAATCGATCCTCCAATTTTCTCGGATCACTAGATTTCGCCATCCACTGCGATGAACCAGGCGAAGAGGGATTGTGGCCGGAAGCCTTCAACCAACAGCGGCGAATCGCTGAATACATCAAGCAGCACGACCGAAAGGAGATCAAGTAAGTCTCCCATGCCCCGTGGCTGCATATTTCCCGAAATCCGGGTAACTAACCCCGACTGATAAAGCTTGTGGAGGGGGCCCCGTGATTGGGATGTCAGGATCAGTTGCGGAAATAGGACATTCCTTGCTCATCGCCAAATGCTCGCCCGAGAGCAAAGCACTTTGAAAGAACTGGCTACAGTACTGCCTGTAAGTATCTTGTCCTATCTCTACGTGTAAAATACTAACAAGCTCCTCAGGACGGCTCCGAAACCTACTACATGTGCACGTACACGACCCCGGAGCGGATGGCCAATGTATTGGCCTTCATCTATGACCAGGGTAAGTTCAAGCCCTTCTCCATCACCAATAAAACTAATACAAACCCCACTTGCAGGCACCATGGAGGGAGAGCGATTCAAGCCCTCCGAAGATAACACCCTCGACGGGGGCATCATCCTAAACAACACTATGGCCTACCTCGCCGGCGTCGAAACCGACTTCCCCTTGCTGCGCGACGTTGCCCTATCCAACCTCCAAAAAGCCATCCAAGGCATCAGGCGCTTCTTCGATGACGCCGACGGATACATCCAAGACTACGCGAATAAAGCACGTGAAGACGGCACACCTTTCCAGGAATGGGATTGCCTTGTCTCATTCGTCAGCGATGACGAACTAGCGAACTTTTATCGTCCATTCCGCATCGCCATGCAGACCCTCTTCGATTTTCACGTGTACATGCAGACCAAGTTCTGCGCGGACGAGATGCTGCCGCTGCGGTACGCGATGTGGGGGCTGATGAAGGATGTCTACCATGTACGTCTTGTGTTTAGCAAGGCGTTTAGAAATTGTGAAGCGCCGCAGTGGGAGGAGAGTGGGCTGATACAGTTTTGGAGGGAGGAGGAGGCGTTTTTTGTGGGGGTGTGAAGCAGGGTTTGTGATCGGGTTGTGGTTACGAGGAGCACCAGGTCTTCTGGAAAAGGCGGAAGTTTACCATATCGATTTGCTTTACTGAAGTGGACTCATTAGAGGTTTACAGTGTTGGTTGGAGAAAGGAGTTTGGCATTTCATTGGAGGTGCATTGGATGATCTTTGTCAAGGTCAAACGGCGTTAAACTAGAATTCAGCGAAAGGATGGAATTCAGGTTGGGACAACAAAGATATTCTGACGCAAGTCAAATGGCTATGTATTGTCTAATAATTGTTTGGCGAAAGGACTGGACTTGGGAACCTGTTTTGCGTCTCGTGACACTCTGTAAACAAATTTCTTCCGTTCTTCCTACATATGCCAGTGTATACGATGACTCGTGTAGTAAGAATCTTTGCCAGTGTTCTTTTCAGCATTTACAACCTCTCTTTAACGCCGAGTATGACAGTTAAAACTGTAAATCTCCCTCAAGTTCCTTCCGAACCAGAGGGAAAAACTGAGCGGGAAAACATGACCGGGACAGGACTCCAAATGCATTCAAGGAAAGAGCGACTGATATACACTACCGGTATCCTTATTTCCTTGATACTCACGGCATCTATGGTAAGTTCTCTGCTGCATTGATGGGGACCGTCCTCCCTCAGAGGCGTCCTTTGCACTTGACACATTGTATCACCAGGCATATTGGAGGAAGATATTATCATAGTTTTCAATACGCGAGACTTGTTCCCATCATTTAATATTCCATGTGCCAAACCAAATGGTAATGTGATCGAATTACTATTATAACGGTAGTGTCTCCATTCCTTTTTTTTTTTTTTTTTTTTTTTTTTTTTTTTTTTTTCCCTTCTGGAGGAGTAAGAGCTTGATGGTACTGGAGAGGATCTTGACACTGGTACCAGATGAGACCTGTCCAAACAGTCTCATGCTTCGTTCTTATAGATCTTGTGATTTGTAGCGCTATGTTCTCAACGGACACAACGCACCTTAGGTATGGAACTTCACCCATGTGTCTAGTTCTAGTTTCCAAGAAAAAACCTAACTATCTCTTCTTCGTCTTTCCTGCTACTCATGAAGAGGCATCACTTCCCCAGCTTTCGTTTGAGCTTACAGAGAAAAAAAAAACATGTGGCTGACTTGGGATTCCATTCATTCTCTGTTATGTGTTTTCTTGTTTCTGACTCCGCAACATCAGAGTGAAGAAGATCTAAAGGTAAATTGCAAGAAGTAGCCTCATCCTCATCAGCACTGTCATTATAATAGTTCGTTTTGACTCGAACAAAGTTTGTGTTCTCCCATCACGGATGATACCCATTTTCCTACCACTGAGACACTAGCGTACCACAGAATCGGACAGGCAAAAATAAGAGTATTTTCTCAAACGCCCATCACGAAAAACCTATAATCAAATCCAGCGTGCCCTGAACAAGGTATTTCTGAAGCAACTTCATGGGCCTTTTAATCTTCAGGTCACCTGGAGAGTAATCTTGCAAGAAGATAACCTTCTCATAACTTAGCCACTTCCTTCTCCCACAGACTCGTTTATAATAGACTGGCTAGGCACTGAACAGCAAGAACAGTGCTCGAATCATCGCACAAATAGCATTATATACCCATCTATCTGTATACATACCCAGATGCAGCATCACTATCTCACAATGTACTAGACAGTCCCGGATGTAGGTCATTGTTGTTGTTCTTAGTTGAATACTGGGGTCTACTTAGGTTGCTACTTGCTGTTGAGTTTGAATTTCAGATCAGATATGGGTAGATACAGGATGGATGAATGACTAGAGAGCATGTAGCGTATATGGAAGAGATGATTTTCTTATGAGAAAAGAAACTCGCGATTATTAAAGAGTAAAGTAAGAAATATCTGAAAGAATGCTAGAAGAATGTATTAACAGCTACAAGATTCAGAATTCCTCAATTTCAATTTCTACATTTTTAGTATCTTTCTGCTGTTTTAACTCCCCTTCACAGTCCAGTGTGTCTTATCTTGTACTTCTTTGCACTTTAACAGATTTAATTCAAACTTATTATATCCTTTTCAAAGCACAAAGGAACTGGTACTCCGCTTATCTGATCTTGACCTTGGACAAATTCCCCTCAAGTAAGACAAACTGTGTAGATATGTACAGTTCATTTCTATAGCTTAATTAACAGACATATGTACTTGAGGTCATCCAAGTCTGTTTACGAGGGGCACTTGGCAAGCTTCATGGGGCCGGAGCGGGATATATCGAAGACGATATTTTCCGCCTTTCTCTTGTTGCTTTTCATTTCAGGTTTATTGATTGTGGACTTGGTATTGGAACTTACTCGCCAGAGCGGTCTAAACATCGGCCCATCTAAGACCCAGACAGGCGAGAAAAGGTGGTTTCTCGAACGAGACAAGCGGGAAGTTGGAGAGACTACTACGCTAACAGCGGTCATTCTGCTCAGAGTCGTGCATCTATCCGGGCCGGATTGAGACTAGAGGCAGCGTTGGGCAACCACCACAGGGATATGCTGAGGTTGTGCCGTGTAATAATGCATGTGAAGAGGCGAATGAATCTGAGAAACAATGTAAAGCCAGGGGCAGGATGAAGGGAAATGTGGATGAATACGGAACCATGTTCAGTAAGACAGCTTGCCGCAATAAGAAACAAGGTGTGTAAGAGCTTTCTCCTATTTGGTCAACGTGCCAGGGGTTGACTCGTAGCCACTTTTTGACACTAGGCTTCTACACTAGGCTTTCACTTTTTTGTTTATTCACGTTGAGCTTATTTTACATATGGCTCGTCGGCCTCATCAACCGGGGAATGTGATATCGACATGCGCAATTCAGTGTCATTGCCGCTGGAGATACTTAGATGAATCATGACGACATATCGAGGAATTCTGCCCGAGAACATCACGGTGGCCGATAATTCGCCACATCAAACTCGCAATCAGTGTGCCAGAGAGAGCTTGGGTAGGCCAGGGTTTCTCGACTCCATCGCCGGGGTTACACCAAAAGGAATCCGTAACTTGGAGAGAAATTGAATGGCAGGCATGGGTGTCAAGGTCAGAAACTGAGCGAACGCGGGTAGTGGTGTGCTGCATACATACAAACGAGGCTAGGTTGCCATAACGAACCAGTGAGGGTGGAACACAGCTTGTGATGGTTTGTTAGGGGCATGGCCGCCTCGCCAATCTGTCTTTTATTGCAGATGTGGTGGGCGGATGTACATGGGAGCGGAGGGTTACCTGGTAAGCGAGGTCGGCCAGATCTCTCAGATCCCTTTGACGACCTTGGCCTCCCGTTTGAGGGGCCAATTGGCTAGTTAGAAAGGGGGTATCATGCAGGATGTCTACCGGCGTTACAATGTTGGTGTGGATCTTTAGGAAAACCTCTGTCAAGATGAAGGAATTGGCGGCATGGAATTGGCATACTGCATGAGAGGTCCCTTCCGTGTAACGCTGGTACAACAAGAAGACCAAAGCCGGCTCACTTGGCAGGATGTTGGGGGGGCCCCGTCAGTGTAGAATTCCAGGCCAGATTTGAGAAGCTTGAGTGGAAGCTGGCGAAGGAGGATGCAAAGACCACACCATCATGAGAACGAAGAAGCAGCCACCAGGCGGAGCGGATCTCCGTCAGAAGATGGAACCCCAGTGTCCATGCTGACAGTCCAAGATGATTAAAATGATGTATTTCAGGGATGTGTGGTATTTATTGGTGGGTGAAAAGAAGAAGAGTACCTCTAGTGTACAGAAATCCCAGCGATCTGCAGTTGGGTTGTTATGGTGTAGTGTACGGGCGCAGCTTCCAGATAGACCTCTGACAATATCCCTTGAACGGAATGGCCAAACGGAAGCCGCATACAAGTATGGACAGGAACACAGGTTCGACGGTATGTAGACCCTCGGCTGCTCAGGGAGCCGACTTATCCACAAGGATAAATGACCGCATGGGTGCATGGAAAGAGCACCAGCGCGGTCCCCCAAGCTGATTGATATCCGATGATGGCGGATGAACCGTCCATCAGAGAGCACTGCAGGAGGACGCCCAACTTGACATGGCTTCCATGCCAATCCTTACTTGCCTCACAGAACATTCCAGGTGAAACACCTGTGACAGAGCTGCTTGGCAGGAGGCGAATGTTCAAGAAAAGGAAGCCACGGTCCATGGTTACGATAACCCATGGCAGATCAGTTCAACTTGGTGTGATTCAGTGACGGCAGTTCCAGCCACTCAAATTCGTGCTTTTTTACCCCGCAAACGTCTCGACATGGGGTGTAGCCATAGCCGGGGGCCGTGACGTCGACCGGCAACGACCCACTTGGCTCACTTTAGTGCAAGTTTAAATGCTAGCGTCGGACGCCGAGCCCCCGCAGTCTCCAATAGTCCGCTAGCACAAACTGGGAAAGGACCCTCAGACGAGGACGAGACACATGCATCTTTGATTGGATAACGAAATGCAGGTGCTTCTCCACTTTAACAGCGTCGAGCCGATTGATGGAGGCCATCCTTTGGGGCCTCGCGTGCTTCTGCCTCTCCTGTCACTCCAATAGTGAACAAACAGACTGATCATGGTTGTGGAAAGCTCAGACAGAACTGATCGGCAGCTGTGCACTAACATTTTTCTATTACAGTAGCACCGGCTACTACAAGAATACGGCCAGAGCTCACAGTGATACTGCCCCGATGAGCGCCGATTGGCTTTCAGACGCACAATCATCCCCATGTTCGGCCATGCTCAGCTTGACGGTACGGAACCTTCCCGTCTGCTTTAAGGTGTGATGCGCCCCTTGAGGGTACATAGCTTGGCCGTAGGGGTTCTTGGGGGCTTTGTCTCCCCTCTTTGATAGACGGGACCAAGAAAGTGTAGTGTACATTAGGTATCCCCGCTCCTCTTGCCTCCAGTTTTCCTCGTGGCACCTCATCCCTAATTCCTCAATCATCATCTGTTCTCTCTGAAGCTCCAAGTACCGATACCTTCCAGAGCTACTCGTAGCAAAGAGAAGCACGAAGGTGCAACTTGAAGCGGACATTTGCCTACTATTCTGTCTTCTGCTTAACGGGGAACAAAGGAGTTGGCGAGACAAGATAGAGCCTGTCCGACTGCTTGGTCCCGGATAGCTTACTCTAGTCAACCGAGACGGGAGATATTGCGAGTGTCGATCGTTTTTGCTGTTTGGCCATCAGTCAATTCCATTGCACGGCATTACCCAGTCGTTCCTTGACTCAGGTGCAGATAGAGTGCGCAATCTGGAGCAATCCGATAACATCACATCATTCCTGCCGTCTATAACCTCCCCTCGCACACCCTCAGTCGTCATCTCGGCCCCGCCCGACTTGACGTTTACCCCCTAACGGCTGCGTTTCACCTCTACAACACCGACTGCATCGGGTCGCACGCAACTCGAACCACTGCCACTTGCAAACATACGAGCTCGTCTTTCACGAAAACAACTACCACACCACCCTTCACTCACCTTCGAAACCGTTACCGCATCTCCACGAACTTGTCCAATACGACCATCAACAAAGCTTGGACCAGAACAGACCCTTCCCAGAACCTACATATTCCCCCCTTCACCTCGCCGCCACCTGTCCGCCTCTTTCACCATGTCTTCCGACAACAGCAATTCGAATCAGACCAACAACGATATGGCGCGCCAACAGAGACGGGGTTCTGTGACTGCTTCATCTGCCGCTCTGGCAAGCCTCTTCCGAAGCAACTCCATCACACAGGGCCAGCCACCTAACTTCCCCGGAACATCTGCCGCCATCAACGAGCAACGTCGGAGACTCTCCATCACCACCCTCGGCCTGTCCGGAACATCGCCGTCGGCTTCCTTTATGCGTCGTGCCAGCCTCTCCACCAACAACTCGGAACTGGCTGAAGAGAACGCCATTGATGAAGATGATTCTGCCCGCACCGCTCCAGCCGTTCCCTTCGGTCGCCGCATGAGCCTAGGTGCCCGAGGTCCTTGGGGTGGTGTAAGCCCTGGGACAAATGGTAGGCCGTCCCCACCAACCCGCAATGATAGCACTTCCCTTCGTGGCCCTCCTCCTACTTCACCGCCTGTCTCGTCCCCGGGCACTGGTAACTACATATGGGGAAAGACGTCTTCCCAGGCAAACATTGCTACTCCACTTAAGACCCCTTCTGATGTGTTATCTCCTCGTTCAGAGCAAGGTTTCAACTGGTCCGAGCAGCTTCGATCTCGTGCTGAGAGCACCGTTTCTGGTCAACGGCACTCAATCTCCTTTACCTCGGGCCTCAGTGGCTCGCCTCCTGGCGCCGGCTTTAGACGCCCATCTCCGCCAGCCTCGACCCCTCAACATGACCGGGCCAAATCTGTCTCCGAAATGCCGGCGCCTCCCGCCCAGGCGCCGAAGGCACGACCTGTCCCACAAAAGCCCGATCCCTTCCAGGAGCGCATTCTGAAGGGCGACTTTTACATGGACTGAGCGCGGTCCATCAACCACTGGCTTGACGTTGTTTTCTTTTACATCGGTTTTTACAACATGACATGTCTGCTTTTTCTTTCTGGGACTGGGGCATCAGTTTGCTCCGCCCTCATGCACCGGAGTTTAGGGAAAGGCTAGGTTCTCCTGTCGGGGCAGGCCTTGAAGAAAACAAAACCGGACATAAACTATGGCAAAGGTTCATTTTCAAGAGGGGAACGGCACCTATGGAACTTACTAATGCATCGTTGTTGTTTTATTCGTTTACCGGCAAAGGTACATACGCCGGTCGTTCTAAGGCGAAGCAGGCGAGCGATCCGAGATGAGGAAATTACCACACCATCCAGTTTCATCAGGTTGAGACGAACTTGCTTTTTTCTCTTTCATGTTTCGTTTGAATCGGGTATCGGTTTTATTGGTATCGGTTGCTTCACAAGGCTGGCATGTTTGAGGGCGATACACCCAGATTGGGAGGAGTGGCAGGAACATTCAAGCATATGGGCAATGGTTATGGGAAGGCTGAGTGGTTACGGTAATCATCGAATAGATTGCCCAATACAATATATATCATCCAATACTTTCTGGTTCCTGTCGTAACACACTGAATCATTCATATATCGGGGCCTTGTTATGACCCAAGGCCCTCAGAAGACAATCACATGCCTCTGCCTACCCACGTCCTCGTTCATAGGCTTCCACCAGCCGGCACCGACGCTGCAAAATCGCATCGCGATACTAGGCATGCAGACGCACGGCATGGACATACACCCACGGCCACGTGGTGTGAATTTTGAAGGAAACCTCGGCAGTAGAGAGTAAGTGAATGCAAGCGTAATTGTCTACTATGTACAGCCAGAGTGCTTCATCATTGCATCCACCTACCTCGAAGTATTTGCCACTCTAGTCTCCTCTCTCCTCCCTTTCCAGCGACCAACCTTGGTTCAACACTCAACTCTTTGCAGCCAATTTGCTGTAAACAGTCCTTTTGATTTCTCTCCCTACAATGAGAGCTTCAATCTCCATCCCGTCACTAGGAATAAGCCGCGATTCCACGGCAAGGAAGACTCTTCGCACATAGAGCATAAAGGATGAACGAACGGCTCGAATGAAATGCAGATCAAGAGGTTTTAACGTTTGGGCCGGGCGGTCGTGTATACAGTACCTGGCTAATGTCTCTCTCTCTCTCTCTTTGTCTCTCTTTTTTTCTTTTTTTCTTTTTTTCTTTTTTTTTTCTTTGTTGTCTTATGGGTATCTGCTGCACCGTTCGCCTGGACGTGAGGCGTTTCAAGCCCAGATAGATAAACCAGCTGCTTCTGTTTTTGTGTGTGTCTGCATCTGAGACCCGATGTTGCGGGTTTCGAGGTGAGTCTGTTCTTTGTGGTATGATATTGAGTTTGACTACGTTGTTGTTGTTGTTGTTGTTGTAATATGCTGTTGTCGATTTGGGTACAGTAATCGATGTGACAAGTAGTAGTAGGGTATGGTCTCTAATTTAACAAAGGACGTATTTTGCTTCATCAGATTGGACGATATGTTTACCTATGATATTATAGAGATACCCCCCCTTCGTTCCCGTAGATTCACGTGCGTGGAGATATAGTTTCGCAGATGACGATTTATGATGGATCCTCGCCATGCAAACTAGCCACCGTCTGGTAAGCCATATCGTGATTGTTACTAGAGCAGTCAAGTGGCTTCCAAGTCTGAGCCTTTTCTCCTCCGTACGAGCAAGAAGGTAACACTGCGTACATCTCAAGCACATGAAAAAAGAGAGTGTGGGATGGGACCGCGTTGAATTAACCCATGGTGATCTTCTATCCTACCCACAGCTGTATTCATAACCATGTGCCACCTTCCACCTCTTCTTTCTTCTGTCATCATAATCCGTGTCATTCATCGAAAATCCCCCCAAAAATTTTCAACCTATTATTCATTAACCATTACTCATGCCATGTGTACATGCTTGATTTTGTTTATCCAACTGGTTTCAATCTTCGACACAGAGATACGTTCGGGGAAACAGTGCTTGCTGGGCTTCTGTTGAGAACACCACGGCTTTTTTTTTAAGTCAAACAAGTCCAGCAATGTCACCATGGTTTCGTTCCATCGGTGATACCCCATGGATTCATCCCCCCAGCATGATGCCCACCATGTCCGCCATGAACAGCATGCTGTTGCTGCTGCTGCTGCTGCTGCTGCTGCCCATGTCCTCCCCCTCCGCCACTACTACCACCTCCTGATCCCCCTTGGTTCCCATTCTGCTGCTGCTGCCCTTGATGCTGCTGCTGTCCCGCCCCATACCAGCCTTGCCCGTAATCATACGCCGATCTCTCTCCCCCCAACCCAGCAGCAGCACCTTGACCTCCAAATCCAGCCCCTAGACCGCCATCGAAGCCCCCGCCTCCACCCAAGTCCATGCCTACTCCCATACCCAAGCCCATACCCAGCGCCATCATATTAAAGTCATCGCCCGCCAGCCCGCCGAGCGTCAAGTCCATGGCCTGCTCGAACCCGTCGCCAAAATTGGCGGGTTCAAATTCGGGGATGAACGCTTGGCTGAGCCAGGGGAGAGGGTCATGAGGCCCTGTTGAGGGCTGCTGCTGGTTCATATCTGGAACGGGTGCGGAGGAATCGGCGTTCAACAAACATGGTGGCTGTTGGGCAGGCTGCGGCTGTGATCGGAGATTCCAATCCATAGCAGCCCCGCTGGATGCTGCGCTGATTGGGGCGGAGAGGATAATGTTCGCGTTGTTGGGCATGTGGGCGGTGTGTTGGCTAGATGATGGACCTGCTGATACGGTAGATTTTCCGGGAGGAGGAGGACCGGAGCTGGGGGTCGGGACGGACGATGATTCGTGTGTCGCGACCTCGGAGAGGAGATGAAGTGGCGTGTCTGCTGTGGTTGGATAATCAGATGCATTCGGTTGCTGTTGCTGTTGCTGTTGTTGCTTGTATATTTGATTTGATCGTAGCGACCCAGCGGCGGGAGTGAGGTCCATGTCTACAGCATTATCTTTTCGTGATATTTGATTGCTAGCAAATGGAGGCGTAGTAGATGACTCTGTCGACAAGTTACCCATTGCTGAGCCCGCTCCGGAAGGACCAGCCTCAGCACGGGAGATGCTTGAACCTTTTGGCCAGGCAGGCTGCTTCTGCGCTTGAAACCACTGTCTAAGCATCCCGAGAACAAAGAAGAATTTGGCAGCTGGCCTGTTCTTGTCGTCCGCCATGGTGGCTTTGAACTTCTCTAGAAGCTTCTCGATCCATTTCTCCACCTCCACGTCCTCTTTTCTCATCACCTTTCCGAGCTCGGTCTTGGGCGAAATCACAGACAAATAGATTCTGATCAAGATTACCACGGCGTAGGCGATGCGTACAAAGCTGAAGGCAGGCAGACAGCGTATGCTATGGACCTCCATGGTGAGAAACACATTGAAGATGTGCTTGATCGCCTCCAGAGTTGCGCTCAGCGCTTTGACGTGGGCAGGCGTCAAGTTACCGTCTAGCCAAGCCGTTTGACCATCAATCAACGTGGCGGGCCCTTTGCCGTCATCGGGGCTCTCGTTTTGCCAGACGATCTCGTGCATGTACAAATCAAGGACGTAAAAGCTCAACATGAGCGACGGCTGGCGCATTTCGTCTGGGAGTGACCTCTGATACTCATTCAGCTTGTGCTCAAAGTAGCTGAGTAGATGCTGTGTTCTCAGAATCGTGATGCTGGAGCCTGAATTATGATCATCAAAGAAATTGATGCCAACTTCTTCTGCTAGTCTATGCGTCCAAATTAAATGACAAAGATACTTGTCCGTTGGTGCTGCTTCAGGCGATGTCTCCAGTATTTTGACACTTTCTTCCATGAACCAGGACCATCGGATGAGATTCGGTCGGTGAAGTGCCATGGACGTATTTGTGGCGAGAAAATAACACGTTAACCACGCCCGTCTGGATTCGATTGACGTGGGATCCGGAGGAGGTGGTCTGTACATGATTTTGTCACGTAAGGTGGAGGGCATGCCATTCCTTAGTCCGCCCCTTGGCTGCCTTTTCCTTCCAAGGCCGAGATCGATGGCCATGACGGCGGCGATGTGAAGTAACTGGTAGAACTTGAGCTCCTCAAAGCGTTCGGGCGGCCAGTACCATATGGTAGCCACCTGAATTGCCTGAACGAGCTCAAGACTTTTGTTTCCTGTCACCATGACCTCCTCCGCAAAGCGTTTCATTAATTCATTCGTCAGAATCTTCTGTACCGAGGGTATTTCCCCCGCGGCAGCAGCCATAATCGCGTGGAACAGGATCGGTTGTGTTCTCCTGAGCTTATCTACCGTCATATCGGTGGAGAAAACGACGCCTGGTAGATGCGGAACCATGTGCTCATTGTAACGCTCGAAGAACGCAGCTGCCTGAGCCATGCTGATTATGTTTCGGTCTACAATATCAGGGTGTCTTATTGGCGGCCGTGGTATCGAGAAATCATCTCGCGGATCCTGACTAGCTCGCTCCCTATCATCAGTATGCTTCCTTTTCTGCCCCCCAGGGGCCATATTCGGCGTTGTGTAAGGATTGTTATCGCGATCCATTTCGTCATAGGCAGTCCAGGCTCGTGACGGTGTCGGTTGGCGTCCCGACGTAGGCTGTTCTCTTGGTGTGATGGGCCAATCCCTTGTTGCGGAAAGCGGTTGACCTAACACCCCCCTTCCAGATCCATTCTCATTGGGATCGTAAGAAGTCGCTGTTGTATACCTGGGCACCGCTTGCGCATCGGGCCCAGTAGTTGCTGAGGAGACAGATGGAGATACCATGGACAGGGGATTCGTGCCACCGCGCACGTTTTGTAAGCTTGCTGTTAGAGCATCGATTTTCTTTTCTAGCTCTGCCACCCGATTGTCTGCCTTTTTCTGACGCTTGCGCGAGGGTTCCGTCACGATGCAAGGACGCTTTGCTTTGCCGCATCGTTTGCAGTCCCCGTTCGAATTTGCGGGGTCTGGCTCACATCGAACCTTGAGGCTACGGCAACTCTCGCAAGCCCGAGGCTTTTTGGGTTCCCCGTTGGGATCTCTGCCTCCGCCATCAGCACTGGGTGATGGGACATTAGCAGGCGTATCATTGGCTGTGGCAGTGCCCGCGGCAGCGGAAGAGTTGGGACTGTAGCCGACGGACGAGTTGGGCGATTGCGGCGGGAAAGAAGAGAAGGGCAGAGGGTTATGAGCAGTCGCTTGCGATGGTGCGGATCCTTTCAAGCCTGGTTGCCTGTGCGGTGTCTGTAACTGCGGTCGGATATTATGAGGTTGTGCCGACGAGTGCGACTGCGACTGATACTGGAACTGAGACTGCACCGGGGAGTTCGTCTGACTTCCAGTAGCAGATTGAAGTTGGGAGCTGTGGTCTGGTTGACCGGATGGCACGTGGGCCTGTGAGTTGGGATGATATTGTGAATGTAGCTGTTGTTCATTTTGGTTGTTGCGGGGACTTGGTGCATTAGTACCACGGCCACCCTTGGTATTACTCGACGCGTTCTGGGCGGCCGCGTCTATCGACGATGTCGTCATTGAAGCTTTATTTGGAACAGTCGGTGTCGGAGCTCCATGGGCCGCGTGGTTGCCAGAACCGCGAAGCTTGGGATCGATATCCATGGTTGTGATGGCCTAACGGCATCTGATGAATTGACGTCGGTGATGACGGGCCTTCTTCGTCCGATCTGCCGATGACGCTGTCGGCTGTCCAGATGGAAAAGTCGGAGAATCGGTAAGTTTTATCTGACACTAAGCGCGCTAGGTCGCATGTCTGCTCACGTGGTCTGTGCTTTTGTCCCTGATCGGGGTGTTACATATCACGATTTCCGTACGGGTCTGGATCAGCGAGTCGAGACTTGAAAACTCACAAGAGCGAGGTTCGCCACACAGTGAGGCTTTCCATTTTCCTTGAGCATGAACATCACTGCATCAGTATCAGCTTTGCGCGTGCCGAAACTCTCCAAATATTTTCCATTGAAGACAATACTTGTCATTAACTCGTCAAGAACTCGACTTCATACTATCTCTACATATTATTCAAGCAGATAAATGTTCTCTCTCGCTGTAGCCATATTTCCAGGTAGCGTAAATGGTGTGCTAATATGATACATAACGTCTTGAGGGTTGTGATTTGCGATCAAAGCTGAACAGACGGTCTAATGCTTGACAACAGCCGCCATCTAGTCTAGGTGACCCCGATTGAGACGGGAAGAAGAAAATAGAAGAGGAAGAAAAGAAGCTAATGGATATTGGAATGCAATGGTATCTTATGTTGGTCGCGAAAAAAAAAAAAAAAAACGTTGAGAAGAAGAATAATGGCACAAAAATGTATACAACACGTGTTGTAACATCTCAAAGAGGATCTGATAGAGATATCCAAGAAAAAGCGCCAAAACAAGTGATCCTTAGCGCCGACAGTTTCCGTTAAGATGTTCGATAGAAGAAGTACAGATTGAAGTGGTTAGAACCGATTATCGTCCCTCATATGGCTTCTTATTCCCGAAGGGTGAAGGTTGGGCATGCTGCTCTTGCGTCGGTCCTTCATCGAATACTGCTCATACGAGGGGGCAGACGGATGGAAGTCGTGAGATCTCTCGAAACCTGTACTAGGCCTCAACCCTGATTGCGCAGAGTATAACGCAATGTCATCATAGGCGGGCCTTTGAAGAGGAGGTGTGGGAGTACTTCGCGAGTGCATTTGCGCAGCGTTCATCTGAGCCATATGTTGCATGCTCATAGAGAGTGGTGGCGTTGGTGTGTTGCGGCTCACTTGGCCCTCAATCACAGGCTTCATAGGCCGTTGCCCATATGGCGAGCCACTGTGAGTTGACGATCGAGTGTCCGATGGATGCGATCCAGTGCGTTCGTGAGTGCTGCCGTGGACGCTGTCAGAGTCCGTTGTGGGAAGCTCATATTCGCCGGGGTCAATGCCAAAAATCGCTTCGTAATTCTGGAGGAAAAGTGCGAAAACAGGAGCTGGAATGTTGAGTGTAGGCGAGAACACAATGGCAACGTTGCGTACGGTCATTTTGTTCGAGTCTGCATGATTAATGATCTTGACCAGGAAAGCAATCAGGTACCTGAGAAGGGTACCATTGGCTTGTGGGAGTCGTTCTACCAGCACCGAAAGAGCTGCGATCCTCTGGGCTTGATCTGGGAGCTTTTCAGTAACGGACTGGAACTCAGGATGAAGATCCCGTGTCAGTATGGTCGTAGGCAATTCGCGTAGATAGGCCTTGAGCAAGGATGCGACAGCATGGATATCGTGATACTGCCCATCGTCAACCAGGTTGATGTCGCCCTCATTGTTGAACCGTTCTTTCAGCTGCTTGATGACAACGTTGGAACCGCTCAACCTAAAGATGCCCTCTTCGTTGATGGCATCCTTTGCATCCAAGTACTGGATACAGCGATAGACAACAGCCGGCAACGGGACCCTAACGTCGGCCGGTGCATTGTACCTAACTGCTTCAGCCAAGGGCGCACCAAACACAGGTCTGACCGGACCGTGGCTGTTGATCCCGGCACTCGCATGACCATTTTCACCGGAAAGCGTATGGTGTGAATCGACAGACTTTCCGGCCTTCTCTTTGCTATCACCCCAACCAAAGATACTTCTCCGCGGTCTCGGGGCCTTTTCCACAACGGGCGGTACTGAGGGTGGCGCGGAGGGAACGATGCCTAGCTTGGTGCCCCAAGCCTCGGAATTCGAAATGACCTGGGGATCGCGAGGTGCTGAAATTGTAAAGCCAGCTTGAGATGGCGCGGCGTGTCCCTGAGCAGCAGCCGGCTGATATGATGAGACGCCTTGTGGCAAGTCACGTTGCTTTGTGGTATCGTAACTCCTGCCCAGAGCCTCAGCATGTTGCTTCTTCTTATTATGACCACCATTGGCCCGTTCCGAGGTACTAGAATCATGCCTGTCGTGGGTTTGGTTTTTTTTCGAGCGTTCATCCTTTTCATCATCGGTGTAGTCGATCCAGCGCAACAGTGCTGACACCCACTCATCCCTTTCCCTGTCACTCTCGGCACACAACACATGTGTAGTGACGCTGGTTGGGTCTTTCTTCTTGGGTTCTTTGATCACGAAAGCATGGCGGTACTGATTGTCGGGGTTTTCCATCCCAGGTCCACGGGCAGGAGGATCTTCAGCGCCATGATGACCCTGTTTGCCAACCTGCGTCATGATCTGTGCCTTCTGTAGCTTGATAGTCCCCAGATGGGCGCCACCTGGTGTCTCGTAATACTTGAGATGGGGGCTATCTAGGATGAAGTACCTGGCCTTCCAGCCGCCAAAGTTCTTGCCGCGCTTCGTGAGATAACCCTTGCGGAAAGGTCTTCCGCCAGGGCCTGTTAGTATTGCTTCTGGATTTTCATAGCCAGTCGAAGATCCAGTCTCGTCGGCATTTGGCGGTAGAGTATGCGTGGACAGATACTTGCACAGTTCCAGCGCTGTAGAGTGATCGAGAGGAGTGTTTAACAGCTCTTCCAGGTACTGATCAAGAGCAATCCGACGGGCGTCCAGCTTTGCAGGAGCATGTCCACTAAACAAAGACCTGTCCGGAGTTTTCGCAGTGAACGTGGGACACAGCTTAAGCCTCGAGTCGAGCTTTGCCAAGGAAGCAGAGTCCTTTTCGACCCTCCATAGCTCACCACCGTCGGCTCTAGAGAACACAGCCAGGGTAAAAACCGGGTCTTCTTCGAGCTGTGTCATGGATAGTAAGCTAGCCCTGGAGGGCTTCATGCGAGAAGACGCAACCTTGATATCGATAGATGGAAGAGCGTTTGGTGGAAGCAAAAGGTCAGGATATTCCTCCGTCATGAAGCCCCTATATATCCTAGTCCTTTCCGTCGGGCTCTCGTAAGTGCTTTTGGTGGGGCTGGAGGTGGAAGACATGCTGTCTGTTTCCTTGACCATATACATGGGTCGAGGAGAAGGTAGTGGCATCGCCGGTGGAGCAGAGATGTGCAGAGGCGTGTTTGGAGGCAGAGGAATTGGCGCTCGCGGTGGTCGTGGAGACAACGGTGCTCCCATAAAGTTCATGCCCCTAGGCGAGAGTGATGGTGAGCTAACTCCCATCGGCATCGGGCGTGGGCTAGAGGGAAGGCCAGGGCTCAAAAGCGGCATTGCATAGGACGCATCCCGTTGATTGGTTCCATTGAGAACCCCGACGAGTGACGAGACAGTCTCCTGAGGAGGGGGACTCATCTTCACCTCGAGAAATCGGGGGTTGGATGGCATTTCGGCCGGAGGCGGCGGCAGCACTTCCTCATTTGCGGCCCTACTGGCACTTTTTTTGCTCTTTTTCGAGAGGCTTCGTAATTCTGCTTCTTTCCTGGCCATAATTTCACGATCGCGTTCATCCTCCTCTCGTGTTCTTCGACGGCCTCTTCGTTCTTCAAGACTATGTTGATCGGCCTTGGGGTCGTCTTCATACTCAGATTCGCTGTCTGCCTCGGGTTGTGGTACCCTTTTGCTGTGTAGGGCACTATCCTTAAGCTGAAGAGGCGCGGGTGGTGGTTTACGCAAAGGTGGTGATGTTGGAGGGGGTAGCTGGCCCTGTACGGGAAGCTCGATACGCTTGGACAAGGGCGGCTCTGTAGGCGTCGCAGGTAGCGGCATCCGGGGAGGCTTGCTCGGCAAACTTCTTGAAGGTGGTAGGTTCGGGTTGATATGAAGCCCGGCAGCTTGCTCCTCGGCCTCGCCCGCTTGCCTCCTGGCCTTCTCGCGTTCCCATTCTAACGCGTCATGATCGTAATGATCTACCGCGTGTTCGCTCGGTCTTGGCATCGTATGAGAAGGGTCCAGCATCTCACCCACGGCGGACAGGGAACCGTGAGAAGGTAGTTGGCCAGCAGGAGGAGTCACAGGGTACGGTGCCACTGACATATCAACGGATGATTGCCTCAAGTTGGTTGAGGCTTGGCCAGGAGAATCTGGGACTTCCAGCACCTGCTCCTGGGTTGAGAAGTCGGAGGCGGATGAGGTCCTGTTTAGTTCTTGAGCTTTGGCATTTGCTACCGCCGGTACTGACGGTCCGTCTGGATCGCTCAGGAGCTCCTTTAGTTTCTTCCTGTATTTTTCCTTGTCTTTCAAAGCCCGTTCGAGGTCCTTATTAAGGCCCAAGATCATGGCTCTCTGCTTGTCAACTAGTCGCCACAGTTGCGCGTTCTGCTGCGATTGGGATTGCTTCTCTTTCAGCAAGTATTGGATGACTGCCTCTGGACTTCCGGCGGTCTTGATTAAGTTGGCAATCTCTGTCGTCCCCGTGTTGTTTTCTTGGGACGCTTTTGTGGTTGTATTCGAGCTCGATGATATTGCTGATATCGCTGAGTCCATGGAGGAGTTTCGCGGGGTACTCCTGACAAGGTCAGCCCGCACTGCCGATGGACCTGCCATGGCAGAAGCTTGGCCAGAAGAGGAGCCTGGGGAAGGCTGCTGAATCAGTCCCGTGATCGAGTTATTGCGAACATTCGAGGATTTCGGGCTGAACGACGATTCTGGTCTGATATTTAACATGCGTAAGTTAGCATGGTGTTTGGGGCTCGTTGTTCCCTTCAGGAGCCTGCGGCGAAAGACAGCACGCATAAGTTGGGGTCTACACACCCTGGCCTTGTTTCCTCTGGAGTATCTCTGCCCGAAGATTCGCTATCGAAGAAGGCAGTCGGCGGGGGGTGATCGGGAGCAGTCGTGGTTACTATCCGTGGAATCGCGGCCGCTGCGAAAGGGTTGTAAAACGTCGGCGGGAAGTCGGATTGCGTTGGGCCGGGACTCGTCGGGGGAGAGGCAGCAATACTTCGTTGCAACGGGCTTGGAACAGGTTTCTGTGGGAACCTGATGTGACAGATCGATTGGGTCAGTATCGTGGACACGGCAGCAGTAACTTTCTAACAGTAACACGGCAGTGAAGACAGTAGAACAAGCTGGGGGAGGCAGGTCGGCTGGCGGCGGTTTGTCCGGTGTCGGTTGTGCGCCGCTGGACAGTCGAGAATTACTCTTGGGATCGTCCGTCTGAATTTCAGCCTCTTGCGAATTACCCTTCCTGCCCGTCTCCAGTATCCATCCAATGCCCCAAGTCTTCAAGCGGCACGGGTCCCGACAGCACATCCACCCAGTGTTGAAGTCCGATTTAACGGGCAACACCAACAAACCCACGCCCGCCCGAAAACAATCTCAACTCCACACTCACTTGGGGAAATTGGAGGCGCAAAACGAGAAATGAGCTGAAGCAAAGCCAAACGCAGAAACAGGATGACATACATACCTCGTCGATGAGGGTGTTATTGGCAGCGCACTTTTGGGTGATGGTGGTACGGTGGTAAAAGCTCTCCCGTCATAATGTTGGTTTGACGGGCCAGCATCGGCCGGGTGAGCAAGCTGCGACATGCCCGTGGTCCGTAATGCGACAAAAGCGCCCCTGGAGAGGGGGGATGGAACCTAGGTACCACAACCCGGCACAAACTGAGAAAGAGGAGGACAGCGCCTGGAGTCCGAGACTTGGCGGCCAATTAAGGGAGTCCGGGTGTGAGAAAAGGTGACCTGTGAAGGGACCTGCGGAAGGGGTCAGAGCTTAACGCAGGATAACTCGCCAAAGTTTCGAAGTGCCCCGGTGACCCTGATTAACGTCGCATATATTAATTCGCCGTGGTGGTCTTTCACGGGTGGTTCAATATTAAGTGTTGACCTCTTATTGCGATGCGGAGCAAAGTGGAATATACACCCGTGTGTATGAAGGGAATCGACAGCGTTAATGGCGCTGTTGGATATGCCTGCTCAAGTTGGATGCAGATGGGCCTGTTTGGCTGCGTTGGACCGTGATGAAAGAGCAGGCTGTTTGAGGTGACAACCGAGATACGCCTTTCTACGGAATCCTTTGTGTATCGCGGGACGTAGAATGCTGAGTGAGGGTCTCTGTGTCCTTGTTTCGAACCTACCTACAGTGTAGGTATGAGTCGCGACATTTGGGGGATCGGAGCCGAAACGGGACGAGAAGCGGGAGTGGTGAGAGGATGAAGAATGAAAGATGGAAAGTGTCAAATGACGGATCCAGACACCGGAACAAGCAGAGGGTAGACCCAGCCGGTTGGGATGGCTCGGATGATACTGAACAATGGGAAGTTGGCAAGAGTGCCCGCCAGACAGTTTGGGAGATGCCAGGGACCAGTTCACTTTTTTTTTTTTTTTTTTTTTTTTTTTTTTTTTTTTTTTTTTCCTCTCCTGCTGCTTGCTCTCGCCCCTCTCCAGTACACTACCATACATCTTTGGCCTTTGCTTCACTTCCCCTCTCAGTCGTCCAATGGGCACTCTTTCTGAGTCGTCGCTTTGTCAATGTCCAATCCTTTGTTCGAGGTAACAACCCCCCTAATCCCTGAGATTTGAGAGATCGCAATCGACTGACTGATACTCTTGCGCTATGTCCTCCGGGATCCGGACAGCGGCCAACTTTGGGCCAAGTTTAATTCCCCCGTCGTGCTCGTCGACAAAGCCTGTCCCCGCGAACTGCCCCGTGAATGTAACTGTATTGGATCCGCAACGTCCGCGCCAGTCCGTATCCATCCACATGTGCCGCCGGCGTTGTTCAATCAAACCAGGAAGGGCTGGTCAAGGACACCAGGTGCTCATGACACTGGCTGGGGTCGCTACACTTTTGGTGTCCTTTTGTGCATGAGGCAGCGCCAGGGCTCCAAGGATTCTCGCTAACACGATCCATCGTAACCCCAGTGTCAGAGCTCTTTGAAGTCAAGATATGACAGGGTGAATGAGATGCTCGGAGTTAACAGGATACTCGCTCGGCAGTGGTGGCTACCATCCCACCATCCCTCATGAAATTAACTGCAGGGATTAGGGTCACAACTCAAGGGTCCATGCCGCCATGGCAATCGACGCCACTGACCTGTTGAAGGTTAGGAAGTTACTATGGTGATTTCACCCGACTGCGAACGGCAGCATCTCATTTCACGCTCAACAACATGATTTGCGGAATTTCTTCTCATGCTGGTAAGTATCTGTGCTCGTTTCTAACGGATTCCTTTTGGATATACAGCGGACTAGGCTTCAGATGTGGAATACAAGCAGCTCGCGACGCAAAGAGTGATGCTAAAAGCATCTGTGTCATCCCAACGCCACCGTCCAGGCAGGTCCCGCGGCCCCGCCTCCAGCCGCACCGGGATCGATGCAAACTCCAGTGTCTGCATGCACGAACTTGACATTACTGCAGGAACACAGGACAGGTGTATTTCTAGTACGCGCAAATACGCCCACGGTACCATTATGGATGGCTCTTACAGTAACTTTTCATCAAGTCCTTCTGGGCATGCACTGCGGCTTCACACAGTCTCGGTTGCCATATCTACCTGAGACGGGAATACTTCAAGTTCAGACGAAACAGGCGCCTTGGTCGAGACAGACGGATCCTCGCTCCCGCTCCGGTTCCATCTGTTTCTGGATGCCTTCGGCCTTAAAATCAGTATCGGCGACTAGTGTACACTAAGATGAACAACCCAGTCCCCCTCCCCCCTCCTCCCAAAGTCCAATCCTCCTTACCAGCATACCAATAGCCCCTGGACCTGACGTGAGGGGCACTCATCTTCTTCGCGGGGCAGCCTGTTGACGAGGCATTGTCCACCTCGTCAGCAGATCTTCCCCCAAGACAGTATGTATTCTCCGACCATATGGCTCCGCCACTGTTACCAGCAAACATTATGAAGTCGCTTAAGCGACGGGAATATCAAGATTGAAGCGCGACAATGACCCCCGACCGTTTTGTCCTACCTACTTTAGCTCATTCCTTTAGGACAACGGTTGGTACCGTGGGATAGAACCGGCCGCTACCTGCCAGTTTTCTTCTACCGGCCATTTGCGACACTTTCAACGCAGCTCCCAGGTCCTTTGGTCATGAGCTGACCACGTGCGCAATATTATCAAATCTTGCTTCACCTCACACATCGAGCATAAATATCCAAGAGCGATATATACACGCAGTAACTTGCTCTAACCCTTGTGTCCAAACCAGCAAAAGGGCACGTTCTCCTACCGGTGCTGGCCTTCAAAGCTCAGGTACCTCGGTAGCCAATCAGAACATCCATGTCAATCTCCCAGTCGTGGTTAGGCGCAAGAACGAACGCCAAATAAGAGACATTGTGAAGACAGGGCAATGATAGGTGAAGGCTGTTTTGGGCCTTTTGATAGGCCTGATAGAGGCAGCCGTTAGAAATTCGCGGCTGCTGGAGGCAAAATCTCTTTTCTTCAAAGAGACTTGCCGAGGTCAGAATCTGTGGTGACTGATGGCAGAGTTCGACACAGATAGACAGTCATCGATCGGGAAACTAAAAAGCAAGTCAACCACGCTGCAGGCAGAATTCCCTTTTCCACATATTGCGACTCTGCGCCAGGATTTGCAGATTATCACCCCTTTTTTGCACATACACTGCGTGGTATCAATATATGATAAAAGATAGGCCGTACTGCAACTCAGCGTACCATTTGGGACCCACGTTCTCTGTCGCAGACGCCGGTGGCTTCGTGAGCTTGGTCGATGTAACTCCCAAATAGGTGGGGTGCCACTCACACATTTCCCATACCCAGACTTTATCATTCAGGAACCGAATGGGACCCCTTTCAGCAAGTTGAAGATACGGACCTCTCGTGTCTACACTACCCAAGAAATATCGATATCTGCATGCAAGTCATCTACACTGCCAAACCTCCCGTTTTATTGTCCGTTTCTTTCCGCCCGCAGAGAAACGATCTTTTCTCGCCCACCCATTGGCTGGAAGTCGTTTCGTGACAGACCAGAAGCCCCTGAAACTCCATGAAACTGTTCGGACTAAATCAGAACAAAACCAAAAAAAAAAAAAAAAAAAAGCGCCCTGGAAACCTGGAAGGGCAGGCTGGAAAAAGGAAAGTCAATCACGCATTCTACCGCGCGGTCCGGGAAGTGGAGAGGACGGTCAGTATATCAGAAACAAAGGAAGAAGGAATAAAAGGATTTGTTTCTGGTGTTCAACTGCAACAGGAGGGAGAGTGGGGAGGCAGCTGTGAGGAAGGGTCTCATGGTTTTCCTTTTTGGTGTCTCTCTTTTGCAAACAAACACCCCGTCATGCGGAAAGAGAAGCAACACACAATGCCAAACAGTATGAATGCGAGGAGATTCGAGGATCAGGGTCTTCCGTACGGTGGTCCAACCAACCCTCCCGAAACAAATGGATGGTTCCCAAATTAAAGGTTGCAAAGTGCGAGGCACGTGCGTTTAATATCTGGTTTCCGGTCTCCGGTCTTTGGTCTTTTAAGCAAGGAATAACAGGCAATTGATGTTTTCCTGATTGGAGAAGAGACGAAAAACACTGCTGAATACAAGATCCTAAATTTGTTGCCCATCTGACATTGAAATATCAATAGGTGCGTAGCCATGGTGTGAAGAGATTCAGGTATACAGCGGTGTTGTTGAGGGAATCCGCTGTGAATACCTACTAGATTCTTTGCCTTATAACCAACTCTCTTTCAAATTAGTGTTGGTCAAATTCGAGCGTAAAAAGTAAGAAGGAAATAGAAAAAGAAAGGAAAGAAAAAAAAAAAGAAAGGGAAAAAGCTTGGTTCTGATAATTGGTAACCACTCACGGAACATGTGCTTCAGCGCTAGACTAGATATAGAAATTGATTATCCAATCACCATAATGATATAATAAAGACAATGCAAGTCCGCTGAACCGCGATTTGACCACCATGTTTTCATCCCCTCAAGTCCCGACGAGATAAGATGATGTAGACTATAATCGAAGCATGTGTTGTGTATTGCATGGGGGTGTTTAGAGAAAGAACACAGAGATCCTCTAAAAGCTAAGCAGTGAGTAAGTATATGATCACCGAGCTAAGAAGTATGACCAGGCCATTTACTTGTCACAGCAGGTAGATTGAGCGCGGACGTACCAAAAGATCTGACGAAAGTAGAGGTAGGAAGAGCTGAAAAATGAAGCAGTGGAAGAAGTTAAGATATACGCGGGGGGATAGGAAGGCGTTCTTTTATGTGTGACAACCGAGAAGGGATGAAAGACTCCCGTCCTTATAAACTAACTGTACAGAAGGAACTGTCAGGTGTTGGCATGTTGACGTACCAACACTTCAACCTCCAGTATATGAAGAATGTCATGGTCATATATATCGTGATCGTCAACATCATCATCTTAGCTACACTACATAGATATCGCTGCGCAACATGAATCCATCGAACCATCGTGAAAGAGGCGCCCTCACTAATTTATATCTCCAATCACCTCAATCCAAAGGTAGAGGTAGCAAACTCCAAGCTCCAAGCACCATCCCAAACAAAGAAGCAACAGAACGAAAGAGTGCAAAGGGCAGTGAGAACGCCATTGAATAGCCCCGCACCATCAGCGGTAGTACGACCCTCTCTCCCAGCTCCTATCCCTGTCCCTGTCCCTGTCGAACGTCGCCTTCCTCCTCTCCTCAATCGTAATATTAATCCTATCCATCTCCCTTTCTAAGCTCGTCGTCGACGGACTCCTATGTCTGACTGCCGACTTCGACCTCGCTGAGCATATGTCCCTGTCCTGCTCCCACGGGTAAGGCAGTCTTGATGGCGGCGGGCTCCTCATCCTTCTCGGAGGTAGTGATTCAGAGTGCCTCTTCGGCTGCTTGGGGCCCTCTACGTACCGATACGTCTCCAGCTCCTCCCTCACCGGTACTGGCACTGGGACGGGCACGCGCACGGGAACGGGTATGGGAACCCGCACCTCTCGCTCGATGATGACTTCGCGTTCTCGGCTGCGGCTGCGGCTGCGTTCGGCATGCCGCGATTTAGACCTCTTTTTCTTTTTCTTTTTCTTTTTCTTCTCTTCGACGTCGACGGCGATGACATCTATGATGTCGGCATGCTCGCCGTCGTTTAGAACCGGTGCCCTTGGCGGAGGAGGTGTGTTTGTGTGAGTGTATGTGTGTCCAAAGTCTATTTCTGTCTCCTGTCGGGTATGTTCATGAATATGATGTTTGAGGTTGTGATGTTCGCGGTTGTGATCTTCATGATTGTGATGAGGATGGGCGGGCATCGGAGCGTAGACGGGAGGGGCGTGGTGAGGTGGTGCCGGGTGAGTTGGAACATATGCGACTGGTTGATGAGGGTCTGGGCAAAACATCGGCGGTGATGGCGGCAGTGCGGGCTCGAGCACATGCACTGGAGGCGAATGAGCTGGTTTAGCCGGTTTCTCGATAACTGTCGCTTGCTGCTCAGACGCAGGAACGATCGTGGTGACTTTCCTCCGGACGATCGTGGAGCCATTGACAGGAGGCTCTAGATAGAGACGTTTTCTGTGACGGTGTACTTTGTCGGCGTACACTGGCAAATGTGTTGGTGTCAATGTTTTTGTGACAGACAGGGAAGGTAGTTGAAACGAACGTACTGGTGACGGATCTGTCGGCTTAACGTTGGATACCTCGACAAGTTTGAGATGGTCCTTCGTCGTAGTCTTCACTGGTCTCTGGAATTGGTAAGAGTGGGCGGTGTTCGTATACTAGTGCTGTGCGTGGAGAGCAAGCTCAAGAAAAAGGAAACGAGAAGGGCCCGAGATGATAACACGGTCCATGCTCCATGGTGAGGGTGAGTCTAGCCCTGCCGAAGTCCTCGTATATTCCATCGGGTTCTCGACTGCACGCTACCTACAACCTTCGCGTTTTGCGAATCGGGTGAGACATTAGACTGGATGAACTGGATGCTGATGGTGGGATGGCTTGGAGAGGGAACTATGACGTCGGACAGTGTTGCCGGCTACACTACCTCTATGTTAGATTGGGCGCTTGGTTTACTGCGTAGTATACTGCCCAACACCACTGCAATGCACGACGGACCCTGTGAGCCTGTGACGTGATCGCCCCCGGTGCGTCCACAGTAAATGCACGAAGAATCTGCACAGTCAAACAGTATGCCCCTGACCTCACTGCAACCGATGCTACCGCTAAAGATTCACCATACAGTATTCATGCTCTCGACGCTAGTTTGGCTTTTCATGTGATTTTCTGGGCGTTGAGTGTACATAGTAGGTCCTCAAGGCTCCGGATGCGATTGGTTGATTAGCGTGGGGATAGGTCAACTTGAATGAGACTTTTCGGTACACCACGATGATATTCAGGTGTCGAGAAACCAGGCGCTTTCAAAGTCTAGAACGATTGTCTAGATGTGCTCAAAACCTGGTTCATTTTCATATGTCCAAAGGGACTTCAGGGTTTACAACACTTCACGCTTTCCTTCCTTGCCTTCTGGCCCGTGATTGCCCTTGGTTATATTTGGAGAAGCAACATAATGTCTTTATTCAGTATGAGCCTCTGTACCAGCTATCGTGACCCCGGTCAAGCCTCCAACATTTAACAAGCCATCCTCATCCAGATCCCGTCTCTCTCTTTGCCTCCTCAACTCATCAGGATCCGGCATATACCTGCTGATAACTGTGTATCCCGACGCCAGCAGCACCATCAAGACCCAGATAGCATAACCCCACAGCCACTGCGTACGAGCGCTGATAGCGAAGAGACTAGCGAACAACGCCGGCGAGAAGGATCGCACACCACTGACCAACGATAGAGCCAACGCGTTGAGCGTCCCGAGAGTCACGGGGCTGGGCGAGACATCGTTCAGGGCGAGCTGGATAGCTGTGAAGGACATGCTCACGCCGCATCCGAGACACAACAGAGCCGGCATAATGAACCAGAAGATGGTCTCACCCGTCGAGCCACCGTTTCGCAAGAGGAGGCTGAAGAAGGGGCATATGGCAAAGA